TACAGGGGGAGGGTCCCGCGCAGGACTCGGCGTGTCGAAGCCAGGAGCTTCCTGTTTCATAAATCCTGTTTATAATCTCAGGAGTGGGCACCATCTCTTTTCTTAACATCTGGAGTATATTTTAGGAATAATACCTTGGGGTGAAGATGCATTTATCTCATGTTCCTAGTAGCCACAGAGATTAAAAAGTTTGTATCAAAAGTTTCGGAGAGCTGGTGGACACACTGCCGTCTCTGTGTGGCCACGGAGCCCTGCAGGCGTGTCCCCATGGATGCCGACCTCTGCCTCTCTCTTGCAGGTCTACCACACTCTGTTCTGGCCTCTCGAGTGGACAGTGGCCTGCAGAGACAGCAACACTTGTTACGCGAAGATAATCTGCAATAAACTGGAGAACGTACGTCATGTGGTTGGAAGCAGGCATGCCTTGATTTTAAAATGTCGCTTTTAGTCTCGTATCTGGGTTTTTATAATCTCCTTAAAGATAGCTCTCGGGGCTAGGCAGGGATCCTAGAGACTGCCACCCAGGTGCTGTGCTTGCGGGGATGGACCCGTGCCTCCCTTTCTCCGTGGGATTGTGTCTCTCTGGGGCGCTCTGACGGGTGGTGTGGCGCCTCAGGCTCTGCCGTGATCTGGGCCATCGACGACACAGCGTAGGCGCATCCGTCTGCATCTGGAGACACAGGCGTGCCTTGAAGACATTGCGGGTTTGGTTCCAGACCTGGCAATAAATCGAATGTCATGGTCGTGTGAGCCCCGGAATTGTTTGGTTTCCCTGTGCATGTGATGTCACATTTACACCAGACTACAGTCTTTATCAGTTGCGTTCTGTCTAAAAAACTCAATGTACAACCTTAATTTTAAAATGCTTTATGCTTCAACAGTCTAACCTTCAGCTGGCCCTCAGCAGATTGCAGCGCTCTTGCTGGTTGAGGGTCTGGCTGCAGCGCTGGGGCTGCTGACTGATCAGGGCAGAGGTGGCTGGAGGCTGGGGCGGCTGCAGCTGTTTCTCAAAACAAGATGACTGGGACGCTGGCCGCTTGGAAGGACTCTTCTTTCATGAGTGGTTTCCCTGAAGTAGGCAGTGCTGTTTGGTAGCGTTTCACCCACAGCGGCACTGCCTTCAGAGCTGGAGTCCGTCCTCTCAGACCTGCCGCTCTTCACGCACCAAGCGCGTCGCGCTGGTTGTCAGCATGGCTGTGGGCGCAGCCTCTTGCAGGAGTGGCTCTCTCTCAGGAACCGCTGCTTGTGCTTGTCCGTCGGGAGCAGCTCCTCCTGCGTTTGGTTCATCCTCAGGTGGCGGTAACTCAGCCCCTTCAGGACCCACTTCGGACCCCAGTTCTCCTGCTGCTTCCAGCACGTCTCCCTTCCTTCCTGCAGGAAGTCCTGGGCCCCTCGCTGTCATCCATGGGGGCTAGAGTTAGGTTCTTCCAAACGCCTCTCAGGTTTCTGCTCTGACCTCGTCCCACGAGCCGCGATGCTCTTACAACATCTGGGACGGGACTTCTCTTCAGAAGACCTTTGGTCCACTCTGCCCGGATCCGCCCGAGGACTCACTGTCTGTGGCAGCTGCAGCCTAGCAGAATGGATTTGTCCAACAATAAGACGTGGAAGTCAAGATTGCTTCTTGACTGCTGGACAGCAGAGGGCTGCTGTGTCAGCTGATGTGAAAGCAACATCCATCAGGTTGAGCATCTCCATCAGAGTTCTGGGGTGGTCAGGGGCATGTCATTTGGAAAGGGCATTCCTATTTGGAAAGGAATCTTTTCTTCTGAGCAGTTGGTCTCAACAGTAGGCTTAAAGTATTCCCTAAACCATGTTGTAAGCAGATGTCATCCAGGCTTTGTTGAGCACAAAGCAGAGTCAATTCAGCTTAATTCTTAAGGGCCCTGGGGTTTGGGGAATGGCAGGTCAGTGCTGGGTTCCACTGTGTCAGCGCCCAGCACGAGAGCAGCCTGTCCTCTGAGGCTGTGAAGCCAGACTCTGACTTCTCGTCTCTCACCGTGAAAGGACTGCGTGCACGCTCAGCTGCGTCAGTCGTGTCCGACTCTGTGGCCTCATAGACTGCGGCCCGCCATCTCACCGTGAAAGGGCTGCGTGCACGCTCAGCTGCGTCAGTCGTGTCCGACTCTGTGGCCTCATAGACTGCGGCCCGCCATCTCACCGTGAAAGGGCTGCGTGCACGCTCAGCCGCGTCAGTCGTGTCCGACTCTGTGGCCCCATAGACTGCGGCCCGCCATCTCACCGTGAAAGGGCTGCGTGCACGCTCAGCTGCGTCAGACGTGTCCGACTCTGTGACCCCATAGACTGCGGCCCGCCAGGCTGCTCTGTCCATGGCACTCTCCAGGCAAGGATACCGGAGGGGGTTGCCATGCCCTCTTCCAGGGGATCTTCCCCACCCAGGGATGGAACCCAGGTCTCGCACGTCTCCTGCATTGGCAGGCAAGTTCTTTACTGCTAGCGCCGTGAACGCCCCAGATGCATCCTTCCATCCACGTTGGAAACCACTGTGTCGGAGCTTCTGGGGAGGTTAGGTCTTCCGGGTAAAGGGCCGCAGCCTGTGTGTCAGCGCTTGCTGCCTCCCCGGCCCCGCGGTGCTGTATCTGAGACGGTTCCTTCCTGAGTCCCTGCGAGCCCGCTCCACCAGGTCCCACTGCCCTGCAGTGTCCTTCCCCCTCTCTGCCTTCACGGAACCGGGGGGGATCACGGCCTTGCTCTGGAGGCTTTGATCAGGGGACGCAGGGGCTGGTCTGCTCTTCCGTCCGGATGCCAGGGCTGACCCACCCACGTCAGCAGGCAGGCTGCTCCCCTCCCCTGCTCCTGCGCTTGCTGAGGCAGCGCTCCCAGTGCCTCGGGGGGCTGTCCTGTCGCATTCTCAGCCTGGCTGACTGTCCGGCTCAGGAGGCCCAGCTCTCAGCCTGTCCTGGCTCTCCACCCACCCTCCCCATTTCCAGCTTCTGATGTCAAGGAGAGGTGTGCGATTCTTGCTTCCGTTTGAACGTTCAGAGGCCATCATTGGGAGATTATTGGCCTAATTTCAGTGTGTTCCTGTCCCAGGGAAGAGGGAGGCCAAGGAGGCGGAGATGGGCTGGGGGCAGGAGCCAGTCGGTGGAGCCATGGGCAAAGGTCCCCGTGCCACGTGGACCTCGTTCGCGGTACACAGAACAGTTACAGGAGCACCATCACAGTCCCTGATCACGGGTACAATCACAAGGAAGAAGTTGGAAGCAGTGTGAGAGTTTCCAGAGTGTGGCACAGAAGCACCAAATGAGCGATTGCTGCCGGAAAGGCGTTGCTGGGAGATGTGCCCCGCACGGCGTTGGCACGGACCTGCGGTCTGCCAGGAGCAGAGCTGTGTGCAACACAGCGTGTCTGCCTGTAGCCAGGACGTGCCACAGGCGGTTAGGAGATGCCTCCGTGCAGTGAGAGCCTGCTTAGAAGTCCTCAGATTCTGATGGAGGCGCTCACAGCGGCAGGTGCAGGGCCCCCCGTGGAGCGCGAGGGAAGCCCGAGAGCCCCTCGCCCCTCTGTGCGGGCAGCAGGGCCCCTCGAGGCCAGTGAAGAGTGTGCGAGGCTGTGCCAGGATGGGGCGCCTCCCTCCTCAGAGTCTGAGATTCTTTCTGGGGAGGTCGGACATGAAGTTGCCAATGATGTGAACTCCTGCACCCCTCCAGGGGTCCCTCCCATGGGGCCTGGAGACTCCGGGCATCGCTCACGGCCCCCAGGGAGCGCCCGTCAATGTGGGGTGTTCTTTCGCAGGCCCGCTGTGGGGGCATAGGCCTTTCCCTGGTGGCCCTGAAGCTCTAGATGGGGGAGAGATGAGAGCTGTGGATGGGGAGACCCAGGGGAGCCCGGGATGAATCGACTGGCCCCGCTGTGTTGTGTGAGGGTGAGGGGAGAGGGCCTCCCACTCCTTGGTGTCCGTGCCCCGGGCCAGGAGTGGGGCCCCTGCTCGGAAGGCACACACCCTGGTGTGGCTGTTAGCCCTGACTTTTCAGACTGTCATTCAGCACTCTTTCGGGGTAACTGGAAGCGTCCACCAAGCTGGGAACCCCTCTGGGCAGAGGTGCACACTCGTCCTGGTGGGTTGGAGCTCACGGTATCTCAGGGCATGCGCCCAGGGCTCTCCCACAGAGTCTCAAGGGCGCAGGCTCCTGGTGGTGCTCTGGGCTCAGGGCAGCGTTAGAGGCGCTTTTCTGGGGGGGATGCTGTAAGTGAACTTGGGATGATGAGGCTCCTAGTCAGGGCATTAACCTACTGGCTTCCTTTCGGAAGGATCGGGTGGTAGGATTTCACGTCCTCGGACCGAACGCCGGGGAGATCACCCAGGGCTTTGCCACCGCTATGAAGTGTGGGCTCACAAAGCAGCTGCTGGATGACACCATCGGGATCCACCCCACGTGCGGAGAGGTGCGCCCCCCGGGGCTCCGGGGGTGGGGAGGGCCTGCTGTCTGCAGCTGCATGCTCCCAGGGGCACCGTCAGCGCCGCGCTCGGGACGCGTCCTCCCGAAGCTGGCGTCTGCACCGCTGCCTGTGAATCACTGTCTTTCCTCCCCTGGGCAGGTATTCACCACCTTGGAGATCACCAAGGCATCGGGACTGGACATCACGCAGAAGGGCTGCTGAGGCTAGGCCCTGCCGCCCCGTCCTGTCCCTCCCTGCGTCGGTGAGACGGCGCGTGTGGCTCGGGAAGCCCGCGGGCTGCCCGGGGACAGGAGGCGGGACGGCGTGGGGGGCCCACTGCCCGGCTGGGCTGACGGGAGGGCAGACTTGCTGCCTCCTTGACGTCTTTGCTCAGAGCCGCCAGGTGAGCCAAGACCGACCTCTGCCCACCAGCTTCTCCACAAGGCCTTTCTCGACTGACTCATCCTAGTCAGCGCTCCTGCTTGCTGTGGTTTGACCTCCTCCTTGTTGCTTCCACAGAACCAGTCTCTGTTATGAAACTGACTCCAGTGGGCGTGTTCAGCGTGTTGAGCTTCAGAGTAATATGAAAACATTGTCAGTACTGTGTTATGGGAAATCTAATTTAAAGTTATTTAAAACGTTTCTGTTCACAGTCTGTTTACTCACAGCCTGGTTCAGCAAATGACCAGGTGATGTCAGGGGCTTCCCTAGGGGTGTGCATGCCTGTCAGCATCTAAAAGGGCTAGAGGCAGGCAGCCTTCCCTGGGGAGGAGCCTGTTTCCTCCCCAGCAGACCTCCCAGCCCCAAGTCCAGGGTTCCAGACCACGGTGTGGTCCTGGGCTGCCTGCCACCCACTGGCCCACTGGTCCTGTGATCAGAACTTCTTTTTAAAAGAAACTTTAGGCCAGTAAGCAGGTCGGGGTCACCATCTGTGCGCGGGGTGTTTGCCACCCTCCCCGGAGGCGGCAGAGGGGGCTGCGGAGGGGCGGGGCGCCCGGCTTTCCGGTCTCGGGGTCCAGTTACTGAGGAGACACAAGCAGGCAAGGGGGGAGCGGTTGCCATGGCGGCAGCACAGTGGCCCCTGGGAGGCGCTGCTGGTTCCTGCATGTGGGCTGGCAGCAGTCGACGGTGTAACGCAGGCGGAGTGCTTTCTCTTACTTGTTGGAGCATTTCTCATAACGGCTGTTGTAGCATCTTGGCCAGGTAATACAGCTGTCTGTGTTGTCTCGGCATTGGCATCTAGTCACCACCTCTTCTCCTTCAAGTAGGTTTTCTCCTAGGAGTGCACACTTTAACCAGCTGAGACTTGTGTCTGGAATGCAAGAATGGTTCAACATGCAGAGTCCAATCAGCGTAGAATACCTCATCGACAGAATGAAGGAAAAAGAATCACATGGTATCAGTTGATGCTGAAAGAGCATTCAACTAAATTCAACACACTGTCCTGATTAAAAAGTACTCAACAAATTAGGAATAGAGGAAAACTACCTCTATGTAACAAAAGCCGTATGTAAAAACCCCAGAGTGATCGTCTAACAAGACAAGGCTGTCCCCTTCTGCCACTTGTGTTCACCAGAGTCCTTATTTAAAGTTCTATGCAGAGCAGTTAGGCAAGAAAAAGAAGTTGAATCATCTCTATTCACAGATGATGGGGTTGTAGATGTAGAAAATACTGAAGATGCCTCAAGCCCAGACACAGAAGCTGTTGGACCTGGTGAATGAGCTCGGCAGGTCGCAGGATGCGAAATGAACTCCAGGAAGTCCAGCGAAAGTCTGTACACCAACCGTGATCCGTCTCGAAATGAAGAAAATGATTCCATCACAGTAGCCCCTGGAAGAGAATCCATAGGAACTGAATTAACCGAGGAGGTGGAGCAGGCGTGCAGTGAAAACTACAAACTGTCGAGGAAAAGAAGACAAACAAGTGGAAAGACGGCCTGTGTCTATGGATTAGGAAACTTAATACTGTTAAAATGTCGGTTGCGCCTGAAGCAATCTACACGTTCAGGTTCTGTCAAAAATGAAAGAACCCATCCTGAAATTCCCATGGAACCTGAAGGGGATTCTGAACATTCAGAACAGCCTTGAAACAGCACAGAGTTAGAGACCACACACTTCCTGTTTCAGGGTTTACTGCAGACCCTCAGCTGTGAGAACAGTGTGGTCTCAGCACAGAGAATAGGGAAGTCAGGCCTCGCGTGTCAGGTCGGGCGGGTGGTGGAAACAGCACTAAGACCCTTTCATAGGAAAGAGTCCTCTTTCTCCCGCTGGCTCTGGGAAACCACACCAAAGGGTAACGTCAGATTTCTGCTAACATCGTGTACAAACGTCAGCCGAAAGTGGGTCAGAGACCCACGTGTGAATGCAAAAGCCACAGAACGTACAAGAAAACCCAGGGCAGGTGCTCCACGACACTGGATTTGGCAGTGACTCTTGTGTGCGACAAAAGGCACAGGAAGCAAGGAAGAATGGACAGACTGGGCCTCAGGGGGGTTAAAAGTCTGTGCAGACAAGGATGCCAGGACACTGTGTGCAGAGCAAGAAGACAAACCCCAGAGTGAGAGGAGAGATTTTCAGGCCACATATCTGATAAGAATGTAATATCTGGAATGTACTGAGAAACTTCCAAAGCCCAGTAACATAGAAACACACACCCAGGTTGAAAGTGGGCAAAGGACTTTATCAGACATTTATCCACAGGAGATGCACAAATGGCCAGTACATCACCAGAGGAATGGAGGTCAAAGCTCAATGAGCTACCACCCCACGACAGTCAAGAGCTGTTGTTCAGTTGCTAAGTCAGGTCTGACTCTGTGATCCCAAGGGCTGCAGCACACCAGGCTTCCCTGGCCTTCACTGTCTCCCAGAGTTTCCTTACATTCATGTCCATCGAGTAGGTGATGCCATCCAACCATCTCATCCTCTGTCGTCCCCTTCTCCTGCCTCCAATCTTTCCCAGCATCAGGGTCTTTTCCAGTGAGTTGGCTCTTCGCATCAGGTGGTCGAAGTATTGGAACTTCAGCTTCAGCATTAGTCCTTCCAGTGAATATTCAGGGTTTATTTCCTTTAGGACTGACTGGTTTAGCACTGAACCATACACTTTAAAATGGTCAAGATGGTTACTGTTTTGTGTATTTTATCACAATTTTTAAACTGCATTTAATTGTGTATCCGTTATGCCTTAATAAAGTTGATCTAAAGAAACAAACCAACAGCTTTAAAAAAAAAAGCCCAAGACCAGATGGTGTAATTCTGTGAAACATTAAAGTGGGATTAACAGCAGTTTCTCTCAAAATCTTCCAAAAAGCTGAAGAGGAAAGACCACTTCCCAAATCGTTCTGTGCAGCACTATCTCCTGCTACCAAAGCCGGATGGAGACGCAACCAGCAAACCTAGACCAGTACCCTGATGATTACAGGTGCAAAGGTCCTCGACAGGATAGTAGTACCCAACTAGATCCAGCAATTCTCTAAAGGACCGTATGTGAAGTGAGTTTTATTCCCAGGGTGCAAGGGTGTTTCACAATAAGGAACTCAGTCGATGAGACACACCATATTAATAGAATGACGGTTGGAAACTATGTGACCGTCTCAGTTGGTACAGAAAAACATCTGGCAAAATCCAACACAATAAAGCCCCAGGTGAAAAACTCAGATTACACCGTCCTCAGTATTGAGAGGTAAGATGGAAAGGTTTTTCTCTCTAAGGTCAGGAACAAGATAAAGATGCCTGCTTTGCCTACTGTTCATTCAACTCACCCTGGAGTTCCGGAGAGAGTAATCAGGCAAGAAAAAGAAGCAAAAGGCGTCCGCATTGGAAAAGAAGAGGCAGACTTGGGTCTGGTCACAGGTGACACAAGGCCGGGTTTGGTGACCCCCCTCGCTGCGTCTTCTCTGTCTGTTGGCCTGATCGTGAACCGTCAGGGCCTCCTAACCCGAGGCCCGAGGCCCTCTTTGCTGTGTGCACTCTGCTCCGGACGCGTGTCTTCAGTTGCTGTTGATGTCCCAGCGGTGCCCACACCCCCGTCTAAGGCCAGGCGTCATGCACCTGGACCTCAGACCCAGGTGTTTACCTGCCCGCATCGGGGTGGGGGCCTGCAGAAGGGTGGAGAGGCTGACCGAGACTGGACTCGTGGTCTCCCTGCAGGGCCGCGTGCACCTGCCGTGGAGGCCTCGGTGCGCACAGCGTGTGGCTTTCGCCTGGATGTCCCTCGGGCCCACCCGTTATCCAGCGCTTCCCTCCCGGGGCCACGCCTCTCCTTGAGTGAGCTCTGCTGGCCGCCGGGTCCACCCTGGGGCTCCCGGCCCGCTCGCCTCCTTCTCCACACGGATGCCAGGTGTCTCCACGCACACCTGGTCACTGGTGGCCTCACCCGGCCCGTGCTCTCCTGGTGGAGGCCTCCTCTCAGCGCTGGTGTTAGACCGTCAGGCTGCTGCGGAGGGGACAGGGCAGAAGCAACCAGGAGCACGGAGCCCCACCTGCCCGCAGGCCTGCCGTTGCCTGGGCCGGAGCCCTGGGCCCCCGGGCACCGCGACCTCACCAGTGTGACAGGGCCCCTGGGGGTCCCAGTCGCCCAGCCACGGGGCGTACATGGGGCTCTCCAGGAGGGTCACGAGCCTGGGCCCCAGCAGGGTTGGGGGGTGCCCACCCGGCGCCCCTCACAGCCGCCACCCCGGGCAGGCGGCCCTCGGCCCAGCCCAGGTGGACACTCTCCTGCCGGCGCTCCTCAGGACGGGCCCAGTCCACCGGGACCTCCGGCCCTTCAGCACCCTGCGCAGCTGCAGGCTCCCGGGGTTCCTGGGGCTCCCGGGGCTCCACGGTCTGCAGGCCTCCTTCCCCATCTTGCTCGCTCTGCCCCTCCGTTCGTTTCCATCTTCGGTGACAACGGGCTTGGCCTTGCCCGCACCTCTGGACCCCAGCAGGCTGCTGCCCCCAGCCCACTGCTGCGGGCTGACTTCACTGCTGACCCAGGGATGCCCCCCAGCCCCACCTCAGGGCAGGAAGTGCTGAGGGGAGGGGGACTGGGAAGAGGGGTCCCTACGGGGCTCCCCGAAGGCCTCATCCTGCATCATGCCCCCAGCAAGCCCCTGGACTGGAGCCCCACGTCAGGGCTGCTCCGAGACCCTCTGGGTCAAGACCCAGGATGTGAGGGCGGACACCGGCCCTGCTGCCTGCGCCGTCCGCTCACCTCCAGCCCCCAGTCCTCGCACTGAGCTGGGGTCGCGCCCTGGCAGGCTCCCCGCTGCCCGCCTATTGGCGGCCCGGTCGATTCCCAGCCCAGTGGGGTCTCCGTGGGGCAGCAGACCCCGGAGCTGCACCCACACGCCCGCCCTCCCCTGAGTCACTCAGCCTGGCCGCGCCTGGGCTCTGGTCAGGGTCAGCCAGGGAAGGAGCTTCTCTTTACTGTTTGTCCGCGTCGCTCGGCACCTGGCCTCGTAGTTCCCAACTAGAGATGGAGCCTGTGCCCCCTGCATTGGGAGGGTGGAGCCTTATCCACCAGACCACCAGGGAAGTCCCAAAGAAGGAAATTTTTTCTGCCCAGGTGGGTTGTTTGCTGCTTCCAGGCCTCGTGTGTGCCCTGCTCCCACGCATGTGGCTGCAGGAGCTCCCACGCAGGGTCCTCGGAGACGGGGTGCCCACCAGCCCAGCCCCACACCACCACTCCCACTGCCCCTCCCTGGCCAGGAGTCGCTGATTGTGACCTGGCGGGCTCTGACGCTGGGTGAGGCTGCGGGCCTGGCCCCGTGTCCTGGGCCCAGGGCCTGGTGCATGGCAGCCAGGACCATGGCCAGCGTTCGCCTCCCCCAGGTTCATCACACAGGGTGGCCAGTGAGTACCTGGGCCTGGGGGTCTGCTCACGCACACCCTTCTGGCTGCAGGGGGGCTGGCCCTCACATCAGCATCCTCCTGGGTGGGGTCACTGCTGGGTGCTCTGATCCACACCTGACAGCATCTCCGCTGGGATGGGGCGGCAGCCTGGACCCGCGGCATCCCCCTGCCTGTGGAAGCAGGCTCCCCACAGCATGCAGGCCCAGGCCCACGACCAAGAGGGTCCGCAGGCGACCCGGGAGGCATGGGGGCCCTTGCCTGTCTCCTCCAGGCCGTGGGTTCCCGCAGCAGGGTCGTGTCATCTGTGGTCACTGCTGGGGTGCCCTCTGTCGCCCAGCTGCTCCAGGACTGTGGGAGCCATGTAGCTTGGATGCCACCTCTTCCCCCACATACTGCAGGGTTGGGGGTTGGAGATGCAGGCAGAGCAGTTCCCCCTGGAGCCTCGGTTTCCTCACCTGAAGAGGGCTGTGGTGGCCTGTCTGCCGTCGGGGGGGGGGGGGGAAGTAAACCAGGGCTGCAGGGAGCAGCACAGACACCCCGCGGGCCGCCCTGTCCTGGACCCCGCCCCCTGCCCGCTCCCCGCATCCCGGCCTGGCTCCCGGGGGGGCTGAAGACCTTGCCCTAATACCAGCCCGGGTCCCTCGCCCGAGGTCTGCCCTGGTGCAGAGGGCTGCCCCATCCCTAGGGGACCAAGGCTTCTGGGGACCCAGCCCCTGCCCGGGAAAGAAGCTCTTGTTTCTCCGAGGCTTCTCTCCGGATTTCAGGAGATCCGACAGCAAAGTGTGGTCACAGGAACACAGCTGCTGAGACTCAGGCTCAGAAAAGCAGGGGGCAGCGTCCCCCCAAGGGTGGACGGGTGGAGATGCAGGTCAAAGGGCCCCCGGGAGCTGTGTGCCCGCGTGTGCGGGCGCGTGTGTGCTCAGACCAGTGCTTACGGCCTTCGCGGCCTTCGCCCTCGGGGCCTGTGGCTCAGCGGCTTCCACGGTGGGGATTGGGGGCCAGGCCCCACTGCTGTGAGAGAGACGCCATATTTGGGGGGCGCTCCCTTGGCTCTGTGGGGCTGGGGCTGAGAAGGGGGGAAAGAGGCCTCCAGGCTTGTCTCCCAACCCCCCAGGCCCTCCAGGGGCGGTGCGGTGGGGAGCAGGCCCCGCAGCTGCCCCGGCCGCCCCAGCCTTGAGTCGCCAATAGGGGCCGCTTCAGGGGCGCCAGCTCCCGGGTAACCTGTCGCCTGGTGCGGTCAGTCCTGCCAGTGTCTGCACGGCCCCCCGCCTGGAACCAGGGCCCCCCCCCCGTGCCAGGAGGGGGCTGGCAGGGGTGGCTTCGGCACGTGAGGGTCACGTGGATGGTGATGTGGACGCATGAGCACAGTCACTGGGGTGAGGGGCTCACGAGCCCCCGCGCTCAGGCCTGACGCCCAGGCCCCCTCAGCCCCAGCTTGGGTCGTCCTTACTCTTGTCTTATCCTCTGAAAGAGAACTACTCGTGACTGTAGGGCAGGGAAAATGGCCCAGCCGCTCGAGAGCTGTGGGGCAGATCTCTTTAAAACTAAAACGATGGGCTTCCGTCAGCCCAGCGGCTGCACTCTCAGCGCGTGCAACAGAGAAACAGGGACACAGCTTTGTGCAGAAACCTGTGCGTGAACATCCACGGCAGCTTTATTCATTATGACCCATCCTGGGGGCTCCCGGGGCCCAGGGGGAGACAGTCAGTCCAGCCCAGCCCCGGGCAGGAGCCCCTGCAGACCCAGCCTGGAGAGAGCACCGGGCAGCCCGTCTCCAGAGGGTGCCTCGGCCAAGGCCCCACACGGCCCAAAGAGACCCGAGGTGACCCTGGCTGGGCCGCAGTGGAGGTGGATGCCGCTGCGGGGGCTGTGCACACCTGGGACCTGCAGGGCCAGTCAGCCGAGGGCCCCTTTGACTGTGGGGGTGACTCAGAGCCACGCCTGGCGTACAGCTGCACACACACGTGTACACGCACACACGTGTACACGCACACACACACACTGACACCAGAGCAGGCCTTGCGGAGCAGCGTGCTGAGCACTGGGGGGCTCACAACCCTCCCGGGCGCCCTGTCTCCATGCGCTGTCTGGGAAGCCTTGCTGTTCGGGTCCTGACTGGCTCCTCCGGCCTCTCTTCCAGCTCCGGCTGAAGGGTGCACCCCAGTGTAGCCCCCTTCTGTGATGGACCCGAAGGCCCCCAAGAAGTCCCACCAGGGAAAGAAGAGTAAGGCCAGGATGCAAGAGAAGTTTGCCAGGAAGTTTCCATACAGGTACCGGACCCCGAGCCCGAGCCAGGCGGGGCACCCCTTCCACAGGCCCCCACTGCAGGAGCACCCTCTGGGAAGCACGGCAGGAGCGGGTGGGGTCTCTGTCCACAGGGAACCGTGAGCTGCTCGGTGCTCCCCGGCGACGGGCTCCACACCACCCCTTCGGCCCTGAGCTGGGCCCCCCAGAGCCTTGGCGGGCTGCTTCCTGTTGCCTGGTCAGCACACTTGCTCCTGCGGGGGTTGTGATGGGGTCCGGGTGTGGGGGCGGGGCAGGAGTCCGCGGAGCCCGCGGTCTGGGCGGCGGGGGTCCTCTGCCAGGCAGCCTGTTTCTCTGGGTTGAGGGGCCTGGGAAGGCTGAGGGCGGCCCCGAGCCCAACCTTGGGGGCTGCAGCCTCCTCACGGCTGCCCGCGGCAGGGGCACCTGCCCTGAGCTCACAGCCCTGGTCCGTCCCGGGGCCCAGTGCGGCACTCGCATGGCCGCATGGCCCTGCATGAAGCAAGAGGGCCCTGGGGTGGGCCCGGCCCGCAGGGCTGCCAGTCAGCCGCCCCGCCAGACCTCAGCCCCGCTGCCTCCGATCTGTGTGGTCCCCGGGCAAGTCACTTGCCCTTGGTCTGCCCGTCCATAAAGTGTCCCAGCAACACCTGCCTCCCAGCACGGTTCCTGAGTGTCGAGAGCCCCTGCGCATGGCTGGGCCGCAGCCCCCAAGGCCCCACTGCCCGCAGGTTCTCCTGGCTGATGGAGACCAGCTCAGAGCTCCTGCAGCCCTGGGAGCTAACGAAGATGAGCAGCTTGCCGCGGGAGCAGCTGCCCCTGCAGAAGACGCTGCTGCCCACAAGGTCCATCCCCGTCCGAGGGTGAGTCTCAGCCCCAGGGCCCCCACGCTGCCCAGGGACCAGGCCCGGCCCCCACCCCCGTCACCACACGGACACAGCACGTCCCGGCCAAGGACATCTAGCCCCAGGGAGACTCACACTCACTCCCACACACCCTGCACATGCAGCGACACACCCAGGCCCCACACACAAATGCAAAGACGCACCGACACTCGCCTTGCCCCGAAGTGTCACTGTGTGGTTAGACAGGAAGGGCCCCACCAGGCCCACCACCCGCACCGACGTGAGTGGGCACGGGTCCTCGGGGCTGAGGCTGTGTCTTCTCTACTGTGCTCCTGGCCTCTCAACCTCTGCTCCTCTGGGCTGATGGGCTGGGCCGCAGCTTCTCCCGTGGAAGGGTCCATCATATTGGACCCTCTGAGAGCCTTCAGGCCATGTGGCCGGGTCCTTGTGCCGCAGGAAGGGGGTGGGGGCTGAGGTGTGCCCCCAGGACTGCCCTGCCTCACACCCTGAGCCCTGGCAGTGGGCAGATTACCCAGGAGCTAAAGGCCAAGTTTGTCTGAGGATAACGGAGCCCCTGAGATGGGGAGTGGGAGGGGGAGGGTGGTCTTTGGGGGAGGTGGCCACTGTGCTGGTGACACCCGCTGTGGCTTGCCCCCAGGCTGGCAGGCCCGTGTCTGGGCTGGGCAGAGGATGGGAGGTGTCCGCTGCTGGGCGCCTGGGCAGGGGGTGGACAGGGGAGCGTCTGTCCTGGGGGCAGAGTCGTGGTTGCGGCCCCAGCCAGCTCCTCTGGCCCAGGGCCGGGCCAGCTCCCCAGGGTCAGCGTGGGGCTCTGTGTGGCTTCTCCAGGATGGGGGCACCGGATTTCCTGCCTCTGTCCTGCCTCCAGCCGCCACCATCGCCGCCAAGAAACCTCTGGGAGCTGGCGCTGCTGACCCGCCGCTTCCCCAGGCCCGCAGCCCCCCCGCCCGCCCCCTGGAGTCCCGCTCTGCACCGCCTGTCTCTGGGCCACTCGGGCCCCACGCGCTTGTGACAGTGGCCACCGGAAGCTCCCTCTGGGCAGAGGTGACCTATGGGAAGGCGAGGAGCCCTGGCGAGGCCTCCGTCGGATACACGCTGCAGGTTCACGGCCCCGGACGGTCGTCTGCACGCCAGCCCCACATTCTCATCCATAAAGTGCGATGATGGTCAGCCCTGCAGTGTGAGCGTCATTTCCTTGCGTTCACCCGCAAATACACTCAGGTGCCTGGGATACCTGGGTGACAATACTCTGGAATAGTGCTGGGTACACTGGCATAGTGCTTCAGGGGAGAGCTCGTGAAGGGAAGTGCCTAGTATTGTTAGTGGGCGCCTTTTTGCCACGGCTGCACCCGGGAGGAGGAGCAGGAAGAGGCAGTCTTTCCATCCCGATCGGGACAGTCTTAGGAAGGGTACTCAGGCAGTTCTTAAAGCACAGCACAGTCTAAAATGCTGGTGCCCTGTGTGTGTATTAGGAAGTGGTATGTGTGTGTGTGCACGTAGGGTGCGCCACTGTGTGCTGCACATGTACACGCCTGTCACAACTTGGGTAGTAAAGCAAGCATACCAGGGCGGTGGCAGCCCCAGGCACAGGGCTTGGCTGAGCTGGTGTGGCTTTAGCGCTTGACCCAGGCAGAGTGAAAGGATAGGCTTTCCCCAGTATCACTGCCCCCTTCCTTGAGCCACAACGTGGCACACCCCCCATCTGTCCACACTGCAGCCTTGCCCCCACTTCCTGCTGAGAAGGTGATCTAGGCTCAAGACCAGACCACCTCAGACCCCAGAACAAATGGCAAAAGGAGACACAAACCCGTTTTTCACAAAGTAACAAAACGCATTTATTTCAAACACATGAGCTCCCGGGCTCACCACCGTCCTGTTTAGTCTGCTCCTATATTGCCTACCGGGCTCGTTGACGGTGGACCGCCGAGCATCTGGCTGGACTGAAGCCAAGAAGGGGCCAGAACACGGCCCCCGGGGGCGCACCGGGTGGCAGGGTCCTCAGGGTGCCCAGGTGGCAGGTCACCGCCTGCTGCGGCCGGGGCGAGGCCAGCCGGCCCTGGGTCTGTTGGGGGCGGGCCTTCTCTCCTTGGCCCGGCGCAGCGACCAGGGCAGGTGAGGTGGGGAGGGCCCCAGGGGTCAGGGGCCAGCGCGGAGCCAGCATTCTAATCTTGTGCCACGGTTAGGTTCAGGACAGACGACAGAACACAGGCGCTCGCAGCCTAGAAGCCTGTTATTCCGTCCTCCGAGGTCCTGGGGCCGCACCCGCCAGCCAGCCCTGGCGCTTCGAGGACGCCAGCGTCAGGCACCCAAGGCGGGCTGTGCGACGATGCGGTCCGCCCAAGGGGGCGCGCGCAAGGCCGTCTCGCCGCGCACCCGGGGCCGTGGGCTAGCGCAGCCGCAGGTAGGAAGGGACGGAGTAGTTGAAGAGCAGGAAGTCCATCTTGTAGAGGCCGAAGAGGCGCCGCTGGTAGAAGGGGCTGATGTCGCGGAAGAGGCGCTCGGCCCGGTCGCGCGCGGCGGCCCTGGCCCCTGGCGGCGGCTCCGGGAAGCGCAGGCCGGGTGCGCCCGCGAGGCCCAGCACGAAGGCCGCGTCCTCGGCCAGCGTCTCGAACTTGCCCACCACATCGTAGCGCAGGCGGCACGGGTGGCAGAGCGCGTGGGCGCGCTCCCAGTGCTCGTTCAGCGGTCCGTCGCGGCGCGTGCGCGGGTCCAGCAGGTAGGCCAGGAACTCGGCGAAGCGCACGTCGTGGCCGCGGGCCAGCGCGTCGGGGCTGGGGCGCGGCCGCAGGCGCCGCACGATGTCGGTGCCGAAGCGGCGCTGGAAGGCGGCGCCCCAGGGCCGCTGCAGCTTGTTGCGGTAGGCCGAGGCCAGGCGCTCGAAAGGCTCGCGCACGAAGAGGAAGGCCAGGTAGGCGCGCAGACGCCGGTTGACCTCGGCCGGGCTGAAGTCGGCCAGCGAGGGCAGGAGGCCCGGCGTGTGCGCCTCAGGCGCGGGGATGGCGCGCGGGTCGCTGGGGCCGCGGCCGCTCAGAGCTAGCAGCACGCGCTTCCAGTTGGTGCAGGCCACCTTGGGCACGTAGCAGTACAGCAGGCCGCGCGCGTCGTCCACCAGCACGTGCTGCAGGTCCTCGGGCCGCAGCAGGTGCTGCCGCCGGGTGTGGCGGCTGCAGGCGTGGCGCAGCAGCTCTCGCCGCTGCCGGTGCACCTCGGCCAGGGCAGAGCGCGGGCCCTGCGGGGACAGGACCACAGAGGGAGCCCGGGTGAGGGGCGGGGAGGATGCTGCGGATCCGGTGCAGGGCGCTCACTGCCACCCCCCCCCCAACGTCCATCGCCCCCCCCAGGGGAGGTTTCCACCTACACCAGGCCCCTCCCATCAGCACCACAAGGGCAGAGATCCAGGTGCCCTGCTGCTGCGTAGCGAGCAGGGCCTGTACCTGCCAGGTGCTCAGTAGTGCTGAGGGCACGTGCAGGGGCACGTGTGAGCCGGGCCTGTGCACTCAGGCAGCACACCCTGGGAACAGTGTGTGGCCCCGCAGGCTCGGGGCTGGAGGGGGGCATGCCTGGCCCGTCTCCCTGTCCCAGCGGCACTGAGCCTGGGGCTTCCCTTTGCGTCCCTCCTGCTGTGGGTGGCGCACAGCCGGCTGCTCGTTATGTCCCCCACGCGGAACGCTGCTGCCCAGAGCCCAGCATAGTCCACCCCTGGAGGGCTGGGTGGGCAGATGGACGGCTGGACGCCCCCAGGTCTCTCTGCCTGCCCCCGGCGTTTGCCCCGTCACAACCCAGCATTCGCTCTCTGGCCGGAGCCCGAGGTGGCCGCAGCCCCTGGACAGCAGCTCCACACGGGCTCCGGCCACTGTGGCTGGAGGCAGCAGAGGGGAGGGTGGCTCGCCTACCTGGTCCAGGTCGTAGAGCGTCTGCAAGGGGCTCCTCCTCTTCCCGCCAAACCAGCTGGTGCCCACGGCGCTGCTCTCGAACGCTGGGGGCAAAGGGAGGGGCGTTCACCGTGGCACCAGACAGACTGGCCATGGCCCTAGCGGCTTGGCCAACTCGCCTGGGCACACTGCATCCACCCCTGGGACTGGGTACCCCTGCATCCCGCCTGCCTCGGGGGTCACTGACAGACCGGGTCCCCGTCCACCAGGGCAGGGAGCTTGCCCTCCAGAGCTGCAGGGGGCCGGGCGGGAGCTAACAAGGGGAAATGTGGAAGCCATCGCCCTCTGGGAAGGCCCTGACCACCCAGCACCACCTGCCTCCATCTCACACCCCGCCTCTGCCAGCCACGTCCGTGCAGCCTGAGGGTGAGGGCCCAGTGGGGAGGCAGGCAGGAGCGGGGGCCGCACTGCCAAGCTGCCGGCTCTGGGTGGCAGCGCAGGTGCCCAAGCCAGGTGGCCACTGGGGACGCCTGCAGGGGCTTGTCGCTCTCCTGCTGGCATGTCCCTCCTCCCAGTACATTCAGGTTTCACTGGTAGCGTCCAAGTGGAGGGACACTCGGTGTCTCATCGCTGTGTTCCTCAGTCTTCCCCGAACCACCACAGCCTCATGTTCGTCTTAGATGTGATTATACTTACCAAGAAAATCTAGTAAGTTTAATTTAAAAATATCACCCAAATTTTCAAGTCTTTGGTTAGACTGACCAAGAAATAAAGAGTGAAGACTCAAATTACAAAAAAATGGAAATGAAAGACGTGATGTTAGTACTGGACCTTATAGAAACAGGGCTTCCCGGTGGCTCAGATGGTAAAGAATCTACAATTGAGGAGATCCGGGTTTGATCGTTGGATCGGGAAGATTCCCTGGACAAGGAATGGCAACCCACTCCAGTGTTCTTGCCTGGAGAATCCCATGGACAGAGGAGCTTGGAGGGCTATATCCATGGGGTCACAAAGGGTCGGACATGACTGAGCGACTAACAGTTTGACTTTCATAAAAATAATATAGCTAAGAACATTTTATGTGACTGAGGTTTGCAAATTTAAATGTATTCAATGGCTTTCAAGAATATATTGAATTCATAGGAATATGGAATATTCACAAGAATATCTTTAATAATTCAGGATCACATTAGAAAATAATAAATTCATAAGAAAAAAGAAGTTTTCGATGATCTTTGGCTTTCAACAAAATGAGAAGTCTTACAATGCTGCCAGGATTCAAGAGTTTTCCTTAAGACAAATCTTTGGCAAACAAGCAAACTTGAACAGTTCGGTGAGCTGCTGCGTTGGCACAGTGACCAGAGGCAGTGGCTCCCAAACTCGAGCGTGCATGAGGCCCGCTGAAACGCAGCGGCCTGGCCCCCGAGTGGGGCCTGTGGTCTGCATGCTGACAGTCCAGGCTGCTGAGGCCTGGGAGCCCCCTTGAGCACCGCGGAGCTGCAGCTTTGCCCCGTGGACTTGGTTGAAGGAGCAAGTCAGTGACAGGCAGACCGGCCTTGCCGGGCCCGCAGAACCCTCCGTGTGCACCTGGCTCCCCGCCGCACCCCTGGCAGCCCAAGGCCCCCTGCCCGCTCCAGTGCCCCCAGAGCAGGGGCCGGGCTCTGCTGTGACCAAGGCTTTTGAGGCGAGAGGCCCACAGGGCCTGCCTGTGTCCTCTGGCTGCCGGCTGGAGGGGAGGCCCCAGAAGCTGCTGCCTCACCTCTTTCCAGTAGGGGTGGAGGCCCTGAGGGGGGTGGGGAAAGGCTGGTGCCCCCCCCCCGGGGGGGGGGGGCAGGCGGAGCAACAAACCAGGCCACCTCTACCCAGGGCCCACGACTCAGAAGCACCCAGCCTATTGGAAACACTAGCCCTTGGGTGGAGCCTCTCCTTTCCCAGCCAGACTGCAGCCTGAGGGAAAGCGGGTCCCACACCAGCCCCCAGGAGCCAGTGGGTGGAAGGGGAGAGGCCCCTGAATAGCAAGGGGCAGTGATTACGGGGCTGGGCCGCCCCCGCCCGGCTCCGCCCCATCAGCGCAGGAGTAGAACCCTGGTCCGGCGGGCGGGCAGGCTGGCCGTGGAGGAGGATGAAAGGTCCTGGGTCCAGCCCCCGCCCCCCACACCCAACACAGCCGGAGGCCGGGGCTCTGGGGGTAGGGTGGTCCCCAGAGGGCCCCCGGGGCTTCCTGCAGCCTTCGCCCCCCCTTGCCCCAGTCCCCCGCCTGTGTCCTCAGCTCCCCAGTCCCTCCCCGAGCCTCTAGGTCCCAGGCCTCCCGGCAGAGGGCCAGGGAGGGGCCCGGGCCAGCCCAGAGCAGCCACTTGGGCAAAACCACAAGCGGGTTCTGCTTTGACAAAGGAAACAAAAATAGCAGGAGGTTAGAGAGAGAGGGAGAGGGAGAAGGGGAGGGAGGGGGAGGGACTGAGTGGTGCCAGAGACAGAGAGAGCTACCCGGAGGGCAGGGACGGGCTGGGAGCAGGCGAAGCAGACTCGAAGAGAGCTGCTGGATGTCTGGAGTGGCTCAGAGCGAACCAGCTGGGTGTGAAGGGGTGGGAGGCCGAAGGAAGGAGCTGCCTGCAATCTGGGGGTCCCCAGTGGGCCCGCTGCACATGGGCTGGAATGTCCTGGGCAGCACAGGAGTGGCCGGGCAGGAGCGCACAGTGCCCCTGCTCTGCTCACTGACACCATGCCCCCAGGGGTCGGAACTACTGTTATCCCACTTGACAGATGGGAAAACTGAGGCTCCAAGAGGCAAAGAAACATGCTGAGGCCTCACAGCAAGTAAGGGGCCAGGAGCAGGCTTGACGCCAGGCCCCGGTGAGAGTGTGTCCTTAACTGCCGAGGCCTCCTGGAGCCCACTGGGCCCGCACACCACCCCGCCCATGCTCACAGCACCATGGGCCGGGGGGCACCATGCCACACGGGGAAACCAAAAACAAGCCCACCCTAAGGACAGGCCCGGCGCAGCCGCACGGGGCTCCTTGGGGCTGCCCTGGGGGGACACTGTGCTGGGTGACCCCCAGCCCTGGGAGCAGAGGTCACCACACAGGTTTCTGGTTAATCAGTTCTAGCCAGGCCAGTGTTGCAAGAACAGACTGGCTGGAGCTGCATGGCCCGGCCCGGTCAGTCCCCCCGCTGACCTGCAGGCCCTCCGGGGTCAAGCCCTTCAGGAGGAAAAATCGATCCTGCCTTTTTCTTTTGGAAGAGTCGTGACTCTCCACCCTGAGCTTCACGGCCCCAGCACGGAGCCCTGATTGGGTGGATCGCTCTGCCCGGGACTGTCACAGGCTTCACTCCCGCCTCGGGCACCATGTGCTGGCAGAACCCACGCTGAGACCTCCCGCTGGCCGATGGTGAGTCCCAGGCCCCTCTAGGGCCTGCCTGGGCCCCCCGCTCCCTCGCTCAGTGCCAGCCTCCCTGCCATCCTGCCGCTCCATGAACACCGGAGGCGCCCTCTGCCTGGGTTGCTTCTCCAGAAACCTCTCCTCTTTCAGATCAAGACTTCTTGTTCAGATCTCAACTCAAACATCCCTCCAGAAAGGGGGCCTCTCCAGCGGCCAGACTGCTGCTAGTTTATTCATGGCACTCATTACCACTGAGACCGTTTGATTTGTGTGGTGGGTGTCTGGCTGCCCCAGGGGAGGTCAGCTCAGTCTTGTTTTCCTATGACCCCTGGACCTCACCTGGCATCTGGGATGCTGTTCAGTCACTCAGTCGTGTCCAACCTTTTGCGACCCCATGGACTACAGCACGCCAGGTTTCCCTGTCCTTCACCATCTCCCAGAGCTTGCTCAAACTCATGTCCATTGAGTCGATGATGCTGTCCAGCCATCTCATCCTCTGTCGTCCCCTTCTCCTCCTGCCCTCAATCTCTCCCAGCATCAGGGTCTTTCCCAGTGAGTTGGGAGCATGGCCATTTGGAGAGCACCCCAATTCCGAGCCTGCCGCTCATGAGTGGGCCTCAACTCACCTTCCTTCCCGGCCTCCACCCCTCCTCATATGCACACACACATGTGCACACACACTGTCACACACACACTCACACCACCCAGAAAAGGCAAGGTCAGGACAGGGCTCTGCCTGGGCATCTCCAGCCCTGGGCGGCCTGTGCAGCCAGCAGGTCAGCGGCCCACGGTGCCTCGGCCTCTGGAGTGAGTCAAGACCCAGCACACGCCGGGGAGCAGGCACTGCGCACAGCTGGCACGACAGGCTGCCTGTTTCCCACACCTGACCCTGAGGCGGGTGCTCGGGACCGAGTCCTTCCTGGTGCAGCGTGTGGTGCGTTGCGCAGAGGGGCCCATCCGGACCGGCGAGTCAGGCCACCACCCACCCACAGCTCCAGACACGGGGTAGAGGTGGGTTGAGGTTAAAGGAGACAAAAGACCCGGGCGGCCTATTTCCCTCCTCGGCCCACCGCTCACCTGGTCCCTGGGCAGAGGCTGGGAGGCCCGGACCGTCCCCCTCCCGGCCTTGGGAGACGGCATCGCGAGCCCTTGCTGGACCAGGAGTCTTTCTGAGCACCTCCCTCCTCCCCCCCCCCAACCCCGGCCCTAGACCGGGAGGAGACCGCAGGTGCCCCCACCCTGTCGGGGATCCCCAGCAGGCACTCACCAGGGCGCAGGGCGCCCAGGAGCAGGAGCCCGGCGCCCAGACACGCGGCCGCCAGTGCGCGCCGCCGCCCGTAGCGCCTCGTCATGGTTGCCCGGAGCGCGACGCGCTCGGCCGGACCGCGCTGGACTGGGACCGGGGCGCGACCTCCGTCCCGCCCCTGGACCCGCCCACGGGCTCGTGCTCAGACCGAACCGAAACCCAGGGCCGCCCAGGATCCACGCCCCAGGGCCGGGACCCTCCCGGCGGCGCGTGCACCACTCCACCCCTGAGGCGCGGGGGACGGGGGGTGGGGGGTGGGCTCGTCCAGTCTGCCGGGCCCCTACCCGGGCCAGCGGGACAGCGAGCAGCCACCCCGGGCGCAAAGGGCGGAGACCGGGCGGAGGAGCCCTGTCGCCGTCGCGGTTTCGGCTGTTTCCGCCCGCTCGCCCGGGGCGCCGTCCTCCGGCGACGCCAGCAGCCTCGTCACAGTGGGTCGGGGCACCCGGTGCCCCCTTTGCTCTTTTGCTGCGTGAAGCCGCCTGTATGAGACCCCCGCGGACTCCTCCAGCCCCAGAATCAGGCCAAGGGTGCCTCTCCCTCTCCGGAGCCCACCCTTTAGCCTTGCTCTCCATGGGGGTCTCCAGGTCCTGCCTGGACCCCGACGCTTGCAGGTGGCAGCCAGACCGGGGGCGGGGCTGAGATGGGGGTCTCCGTACCGCCTCTGGACATGAGGACTCCTGTTCCTTGCCTCCTCCCCACAACTGCTGCAGACCCCAAGGGAGCACTCGGAGCTCCCTGAGGACTCCCGAGTGCAGGCTGGTGAGAGTGAATCCCGCCTTGAAAATGCACTCGCGCAGTGCCCCAGGAGGCTGGCAGACACGCCAGACCCCAGGGTCCTGCTGCCCAGCAATGGGGCTAGGAGGGCACCCAGGAGGCAGCTGGTGCTGCGTGTGCAGATCTGGGTGTGTGTGCGTGAGCCAACCCCGGGCAGCGTGAGTGTGTGGGAAAGGGGTGCATCTAAACTGCTTCCAGCCCTGCCGGCTTCTGTCCACCTGCTGTGTGAGGTCAGGAAAGCTGGCTAACCTCTCTGTGCCGAGCTCCCCCGTGCCGCGGGAGTGCACTAGAACACACTTCGTTGTGCAGTGGGAAGCGAATGAGACCCAGGAGACGTTTGGCATGGTGTCTGGCACTCAGCTAGTGCCAGCTAAGCACTTGACACTGGTGATTAATATATTATTACTGTTAGTTTCTGGCAGGTGGCTCTGGCTTCTGTTAAGGTGGTGACATAAAAATTCCTTCCCGTTCCGTGCAAATCTACTTAAACGACAATATTAAGTAAATAACGGTTCTGCTGTCTTAAAGATACGGCTCCAAATTCTATCCTAGGTCTCAAAGAGTAGAGGGCAGGAAACAGCCCACCGACAAGCCGGGAGCTCTGTATTGTGACTTTCCAGACGCCCGGGACAGAGGGCCTTGGGGAGCGTCCAGCTCACCCCGGAATAGCCTGAAGGCAGGGCTGCTGCCGCTCTGGGCCTGGGACCCAGACTCTGGGTCATCCGTTCGCCAGGCGGGTTCCGAACCGCCACTCCCACCTGCTTGCGGACCTGGGCTCTCTCTCTGCAGCCCCAGCCGCAGGCAGGCTTCCTGGTGCCTGTGCTGCCACCTGGTGGCCATGGCGGAGAACAACGTCTCAGCCCGTCCGTCCCCGAACGTCCAGGAGGCCCCCGGGGGCTGCGCTGGGTCTTGAGGAGGGAGGGCCCGCGTGCCCAGGGCTGGGGTGGGCACAGGAGGAGCAGCGGGCGGGCACGAGCATCGCAGCTGGCCAGAGGGCTGTGAGGACAACAGGGGCGTGCAGAGAGGGGCCAGGTGCCGAGATGCGTCCCGCAGTGGGCAGCCGTCGAGGAGGCCCTGCAGGGAGAAGCCGGAGAGGCGAACAGGACGCCCCCGCTCCCAGCCCGTCGTGGCCACGTTGGGGCTCCTGGGGGACCACAGCGGGCAGGGAGCGGGTGGGGCCGGGGGGAGGCTGCGCATGGACAGGAATGGGTGGGCTCGGGGTGCAGGCCCTACGTTGAAAGTGGACGGATCAGCGGTCAGGGCGCGCGGAGAAGGCCCCCGGGCAGGAGAGTGGAAGCGGGGAGGAAGGAACGCAGGGGAGGGGCTGAGGGCCGGGGGCGCGAGGTCTTGCCTGGCAGAGACGGGTCCCAGCGTGGCCTGGTGACAGTGCCAGGCTGGCAGGGCTCGGCTCTCGGTGCTGGTCGTCAGGGGCGAGGAAGAGAGGCTGGCCCGAACAGGCGTGGGCCTGGGGGAGAAACCAGCGTGGGCACTCGATGCTGAAGAGGACAGGCCATGTCCAGGGTCAGGGGCCCGGGGCTGAGGCCAGAGGCATACACTGAGGGCCTGCCGGCCTTGCTTGGCGCCCTGTCACTTTCGCACTGTTCAATTGGTTTGTCCGTGGAGCACAGTGCAAACGCCCCAGAGTCCTTCTGGCTTGATGCAGAGGCTTGGCAGCTCCAGCAGGACTAGCTGTGTGGCCGTGGGCAGGCCCCGTGCCCCGCAGAACTTGGTCTGCACCCCCATGTGGTGGACCCTGAACCACAGGCCGGTCGCGGAGGCAGAGTGTCCAGCTGACGGCGGTGTCCCTGGGCGCAAACACCCAGAGGCGTCAGCCTCCTGCGTACATGCCAGACGCGGGTGCTCACACACTTGTGCACATTGGGACGACGCCCAAGGCCACGGGGCTGGCCAGCAGCAGAGCTGGGTCCACACCCAGAGCTGTTGCCCGCCCCTACCTGGGGCCGCTGGGGCCCTAGGGCGCCTCTTCCCGGCTCTGTGAGTGGCCCTGGGCCCCATCCGGAGCCAGGGTAGCTAACGGCCACCCCCTCCCCCAGAGATGATGATGGGGTCTCCTGAGAGTGGGGAGAGCTGTCCCTCTGTGGGGGCGTTACTGCCACTGGGTGGGCTCCGGTCAGCATGTCACCACTGGGTGGGAAGGAGGGATATGGGGCGGCCACACTCGATACCCCCGTCAGTGTCACGGGCCCCCCATCATCGCCTCTCATGGTGAGACTGCCCCCCGAGAGCACCGGGCAAACCCAACCCAGAGCCCCTCTCCCCACGCTGTGTCCCAGAAAACACTCCCCGCAGGCCAGCACCCCTCGGAGGGGACACACAAACCCTCCCCCGGCATCCCCCCCTTGACGCCTGCCTCGCCCAGGACCCCGCCCCCTGGTCAGCATTGCCCTGACCCCAGGCCCTCGCCCTGGCCCAGGGCCCAGAGAAGGCCACAGGGGGTGGGCCTGTGGCCTGAGGGCCCCGCCCAGCTGCACAGGACACCTGGTCTCTCCGCAGCCCTCACATACAGCGGGCCTCCATCCCAGCCTCCGCCAGCCATGTGCAGCCTCCAGGCGCTATGCTCTGGCCTGCCCCTGCGGCCCCTCCCGGAGAACCAGGGCCGGTGGGCTGGGGTGCCCCATGCCCCAGTCAGGACCCCCGGCCTCAGCCCCGCTGAGGAGCAGGTGAGAGGCTGAGCCCCCCGCCCTGCAGGGCTGCTCGCCTTCTGGGAGGTCTGGGAGGGCTTTGCCCACCAGCCTGGCCTTTGGGGCTCCCAGTGAGGGTGGCCGCGGGCTGGGCACCCCCGTGCCAGCCTCCATCAAGCCCGCCTCCCTCCTCCCGGCTGCCCGGCGGGCGGCGGCCTCTGGCCCCCACTGACTGAGGGTCCCTGAGGCTCGAGGTCACAGGTGGGCACCATCACCTCGACCTTGGGCCACCAGGGCCCAGGGGGCCTGCCGCTCGCTCCTCCCGGGAGCACCCGATGGCCTGGGACCTGGGGGTGGGGGCAGGGGCCCTGGGGACCGGGAAGGAAGGGGCAGCTGGTTCCCTGCACCTCCTCCTTCCTGCTGGCGTTTGCTCTTTGACCCGGTCTTTGACACCGAGCTCCTAAATCAGCTTCAGTTCCCTGGGCAGTGGGGGCTCCTGGCGGGGCTGGTCACAGGGTCCAGGCCCTGATTACACGTTGGGCCTTTCGGCCCCACCCCCATCTGCCGGAGAGGGCTGGAGGCCAGAGAATGAGGGAATGAGTCCTTGCGACAGACTCTTCCTTGCAAAGGACTGCAAGGCCGCTCCCCAGGGTCAGCGTGTCCGGGTCTGGAAGGGAGCAGGTGCTGGGGTGGTGGGCGCACCTGGGAGCCCCCCGCACCCCGGGTTCCTGCTCGTCAGCTCACCTCCCTGTGGGTCCTTTCAGCACAAAAACCAAGGAGAGAGTCCTGAGTTCTAGGGGCTGAGCTGGCAGATTCCCAAACCCGAGGGGCTGGGCCCCCAGTTCTCACTGGTCGTTCACGAGTGCAGCTGATGACCCGGGTGTACGATCGGGGGCTGAAGTGGGGGTGTCTAGTGGGCCCGAGCCCTCAACCTGTGGCCGGGATCTGGGGGATCTCTGACCGACAGCGCCCCAGCGGGACTGAACCGAGAGCCTCCAGCGGGGTCGGGGGAGAGGAGGGCCCTGGAGGAGCCACATGTCCAGTCCCGGGGGGCGCCTGCGGGAGGACCCCCAGGCATCTCCTGGACCACCCCAAACCTGGCACGGCGTCCTCAGCCACCACCTTCACACTTTCTCGGGGCTGCTTTTCTGTTTTATTTAAATGTCCCTTTGAATGTCAACATCAGCTTTTAAAGGTAGTCGTAAGAGAGATGCGTCACGTGTTATGACATTCTTTAGTTTTTGGTGTCACCTTCCACACACATTCTGGTGCACACAAGATTGTGTGTGTCCTTCTTAAATCTCTCAGTGGGAGCTGTCCACACAGCCTGGTTTCTTTTGAGGCTGTTCCTCATCGGTGTGTTGTTGAAGTTTGGATGAACAAAAGCGTGCTCCCCTCTTAGTTCTTTTGTGAGTAGTTGTTGTTGAATCACTCAGTCGTGTCCTACTCTTTGTGACCCCATAGACCGCAGCACGCCAGGCCTCCCTGTCCATCACCAGCTCCCAGAGTTTACTCAAACTCAGGTCCATTGAGTCAGTGATACCATCCACCCATCTCATCCTCTGTCATCCCCTTCTCCTCCGCCTTCAATCTTGCCCAGCATCAGGGTCTTTTCCAGTGACTCAGCTCTCCGCATCAGGTGGCCAAAGTCCTGGAGCGTCTGTAGGTAGATTTCTGTTCACCTGCAGAGTGTGGTCGGCTGTGCTGCGGAGAAAGATTCCTGTCACATCTGTTAGAATCGTCCCCGGCATCCCCACACAGCAGCCCCATGCAGCTGGTCTTGGTGACCTCTCCCCAAACTACACCCCACCCTCAGGGGGCTGTGCTGGACCTCCCACCACTGCGGACGCACTGCCCGCAGCTCCTGGAGAGTGAGGCTCAGTGGGGCTCACTTCTGGGTCTTCGGTGATGCCAGAGTCTTCTGTTGAATGAGCGAACAGGAGTATGTGCAGAGCCAACACCCTGAAAGAGCTCAGTGGGCAGGAGAAACCTAGGAAGGCTTCTTGGAGGAGGTGGTCTTGGCACCAGGGGCAAGTTTCCCAGACTGGGGAATCTGAGCGGGAGGCCATTCTGCAGGCTGTGAGTGACCATGTGGAGATGGGTCTGTGCAGAGTAAACTGGGGTGGATGAGCCCTGTATAGGCCAGAGCTGGGTGTGGACCTGGGAAGCCAGGCCTGGCCTGGTCACAGAGAGGCTGAATGCCACCCCTAGGCACTGCGTCGGGCAGGGGCTGGCCTGCTGCTTGGCCCGCTGCCCGGCCCGCTGCCCACAGAGAGCCAGGCCCACATGAAGCTGGGGGCAGACAGATGCCCTGCGTGGAAGCCGTAAGTGTGGAGACGGTCGTTCCGGCCGCTGGCCCTGTGCAGCCCATGCATGCCAGGTGCTGACCACGTCCACTCGGCCGGGCCCCGAGGCAGCCGTGTGAGGGAGGGCCATCCGCTTGTCTTCCGAAAAAGGAGACTGCAGCTCAGGGAGGCGCGTGTGCGGGTCGGGGACCCGCGGAGACAGACTGGGGTGCAGGGATCAGAGAGGTGTGTGTACAGATACAGACTGGGGTGCAGAGGTCTGGGACCCGAGGCACAATCTCTGGAGAGGCCCCCCTCCCCCGCTGGGAAGAGCCTGACCCACAGTCTGGACCTGGCGGGTCTGGCCTCAGTTTTGCCCAGTTCTGGTGAGGACCCCATGGGGCTGGGCTCCAGGGGTGCGGGGCTCAGACAAGGCCCAGTCTATCAGATCGTTAGAAAATGAAACAGAGGGAGCCGGAGTCGGGCGGGATGTGTTTGGGTCCGCATGTAAGATCAACCCCCACTGGGGAGGGTGATTGTGTGTGCCTGTGACGTGTTGCTTTTGAAACTCTTCTGTCAATGTTTGTTTTCACTTGCAAGCTCTGATTACAAGCTGTTCACTGATTTAAGAAAAAGAAAACACGCAGTCTCTGTGTCGTGGGCCTGACATGACCTTGAAGCGCTTGACCTCCCGCTCACGCCGGCCCCGCCTGCCCCTGAACCTGAGCCCACAGATTCCTGCCACGTGCCCCCCTGCACCCCCCGTGCCCCTCCTGCCCTGTCGCTGCGTGTCGTTGCACGGGCCCTCCTATCGTGGCTCCCTTGTGCCAGAAACTACTCAGAGACCCTGAGGGTAGGCCCGCCCAATGCGCCTGACCCTCTGGGTGAGCCTGGGAGCCCCCTGTGGGCAGATTCCCAGCCACCTTTTGCGAGGGAGACACACACATTTCTGATCGCTTTTCCCCAGGGAGCAGGAACCATGTGCTTTTATTACACGTTGAAGTCACCCAGGCACTTGCCGTGCAAACCTTTCAAGTCCCCTCACTCCTGAGCTGGGGTTTCCTCGCTGCCCTTCTCGCCCTCTACTCCTTCCAGAATCATCCTTACCCCGCCCACCCCACACACCCCTCAGCCCCCAGGGGCACCTTTGATGTGCGATGCTGGACTTGGGGCGCACAGGTCAGGCTGTCCCCCCCCTCCCGAGAGCCTCTGTCCTCAGCCCCCGGCGCTCTCTGTCTCCAGGGCCGGCCCTCTGCCCTGCACACGAGCTGGTGCCTCAGGACCCAGGCCAGGCTGCAGGCTTCTCTCCGGCCACCTCTGCCATCGCCTGTTCAGAGCCTGTCCAAGGCTCGAGCTCCCTGCCCCCTCGGTGGATGTGTGTTGAATGAATACTTTCACACCAGCTCCTTATCGCGCCCCCTAAAGGAGTTTGTTCTGCAGGGTTGGCTGGTTGAATGCATGGCCTCAGTGTCCACCCCTGACACCCGGGCGTCACCCCACTCCTGGCCTGCGGGCTCCTCCTGGGTGCTGGGAGGGAGAGCATGGGGGAGGGGGGCCTGGTGGGACCCCCACCCTCCTTGAGCCCAGGGGAGACTGAGAACCAAGGGGACAAACCCACCCTGGAGCATGCAGAGATGCTCAGCCTGGGGAGGGGAGAACATGCAGGGAGGCAGGCAGCACCTCCCACTGTAGCTCAGGCCACAGGCCATGTCCCTCTCTGGCCCTTGCCGGGGCTCAAGCAGCCTGGTGCCCAGTGAGCATGCAGAGGGAGGAACTGGAAGGCTGCTGACAGAGAACCAGGGGGCAATCAGGGAAGGCTTCCTGCAGGAGGTAACAGGGTAGCGGGCCTGGGGTGCGAAATGGGCAGTCTCGTGGCTGGGCCCTGGGTCTCTTGAGTGGAGCAGAGGCACATCCAGGAGGGCAGAGCTTGGCCTGGAGCCCACACACTCTGCCGCCCTCACCACCCCCCCCAACCAATGCCCCGCCAGCTGGCGCTGAAGAACGCCCTCCGCTACTTCCCCCCGGATGTCCAGGAGGTGCTGGCCCCCGAGTTTGCCCAGGAGCTGCGGCTCTACGGCCACATCTACATGTATCGCTTTTGCCCCGACCTGGAGATGAGGTGAGTGCCGCAGGCTCGGCTTGGCCCCCTGGAACAGAGGCCTTGCTGTGAAGTGCACCTCCTCTGGGCTGGAGCCTGTCCAGTGGTGGGGAGGGGCCGGCCGAGAGCACCTCCTGCTGGTGGGAGCTCCAAGTAGGGGCACCTTCTGCTGATGCCGGGGCTGGCCGTCCACGCCCGCAGGGCCAGGGGCCGGGCCGGGACGAGGCGGGACCTGAGCTTCCAGGCACCCGCCCCTCGACTGGCCTGGCAGCTGGACCCCTTGCAGGGCCTACCCAGTGGAGCAGTACCCCTGCCGGACGAGGGCGGCTGCAGCCATCATGCTTATGATCATGAACAACCTGGACCCGGCCGTGGCACAGGTAACGGGCGGGGTCAGCAGCGGGAAACCAACATGTGAAACACACCAGCGCTCGCAACACCCGCTAGCTTTCTACTTGGAAGCAGTGACAGACGCGATACAGACGCAAGTTGCTGAGTCCTGTCCAGATGTTTGTGACCCCAAATTCTCCAGGCCAGAACACTGGAGTGGGTAGCCTGTCCCTTCTCCAGGGGATCTTACTGACCCAGGAATCGAACCTGGGTCTCCTGCATTGCAGGCGGATTCTTTACCCACTGAGCTATGAGGGAAGCCCCGAGGGGGCTGCAAAACCATTGCGGGGAGGGCTCGTTGCTGCCTCTCGGGCGCCCCCGCTTGGTCACCGCCTCCTGGCACTGGCACCATGACAGCCGCCTTGGCCTCAGAAGGTGTCACTTTGCACCTGATGCGTCCGACTCTCTGCGCCCCCCTGGACTGCAGCCGGCCAGGCTCCTCTGTTCATGAAATTCTCCAGGCCAGAACACGGGAGTAGGTGGCCACATGAAAACTGAAAAGGAACAGGCTGAATACTGCAGTTGGTTGCAGTATATCCAAAATATCACAACATGTAATCATATAAAATCAAGATATTTTATAGTGTTTTTTTTCCTACCAAGTCTTTGAAACCAGCGGTGGGTGTCATGCCTAGAGCTTGTCACGCAGGCCGTGGCTAAAGGTGCGAACGCTGCTGACAGCAGCGGATGTGGCCACACGTGCCCATCCTGGTGTCCTTGCATGCCAGCCCGTCCTGCAGCACCCGTATTCGAGAGAGGACAGCCTTCGGGGGGACCTGAGAGTTTACATGAGGGCAGGAGGGTCCCAGGATGCAAGCACTCTGCTGAACCCTGACTGGGTCACCCCCCAGCCCCCCACTCCTCCTCCAAGGGCCATTGGCCACTTGGGGGGCCATGACCACTGAACCCAGCCAAGCTGCAGGCCTCCTTCCCCATGCCCCCATCTCAGGCGGCCCCGTGTCCTCCACAGTTTCCCCAGGAGCTCGTGACCTACGGAGGAAATGGGCAGGTGTTCAGCAACTGGGCGCAGGTATGGACCCTGGACTGTGTGGGCAGGCAGGGGCGGGCCCACCATAGGCCTGTCCACCACCTACCTCTGCCCCGGCCTCCGGCCTGGAAGCGCCTGGCAGACTGGCCCCGGGGCTCAAGCTCTGCCTCCCTGATGCCCGAGATCCCAGAGGTCAGAGGTCCTGCGGTGGGGCCACTGGAGGGCAGGGGGGCCCCCGTGGGGGGACTCGGGGCCAGTATGGGGAGCCCCTCGTCACCCCTGTGCCTTGTTCCCTGGCAGTTCTGGCTGACGATGTCCTACCTGGCCCAGATGACCGAGGAGCAGACGCTGGTCGTGTACAGCGGACACCCACTTGGCCTTTTTCCCAGCAGCCCTGAGGCCCCCAGGCTGGTCATCACCAACGGGATGGTGGGTCCCGGGGCCGCGGGGAGGCCCAGCCGCCACCCACCTGCCAAGCCGTCGCCCCCAAAAGCCAGGGCGCAGCCCCCAGCCCTCCGCCCACCCCTCTCTTGCAGGTCATTCCCAACTACTCCTCCAGGACGGAGTATGAGAAGCTCTTTGCCATGGGGGTAACCATGTAAGTGCTGTGGTTCATGCCTTGGCCAGGCCCTGTGGTTAAAACGGCACCGTGATGGTGACTTCAGCTCTGAAAAGGCCTCACCATCAAAGCTCTATAGCGAGATTCCGTATTTACACACTTCCTGCTCGTTTTCATGGATGTCCCTGCAACCTTCACACATGTGTGAGTGAGCAGATGTGCAGTTTGAATCCTACTTTTTGCAAGGGGGCTTCCCCGGTGGCTCAGACGGTAAAGCGTCTGCCTGCAAGGCAGGAGACCAGGGTTCGATCCCTGGGTTGGGAAGATCCCCTGGAGAAGGAAATGGCAGCCCACTCCAGTGTTCTTGCCCGGAGAATCCCGCGGACGGCGGAGCCTGGTGGGCTACCTTCCACGGGGTTGCAAAGCGTCGGACATGACTGAGCGACTTCTCTTTCTTTTGCAAGGACTCAGGTCCTGGCTGCAAAGGGGGTGCGGTGATGGCTCTGGTCCCTGAGCCAGAATGAAGGGACACCGCCTGAGTGGATGGGGCCCCAGGGAGCACGGCCCTGGGGGAGCACGCCCCACAGCGGGCTTTACCCACCTCCCTGGTGGGTGGGTATTGTGTCCGCACAATCGTCCTATCCACACAAGGTTGCATGGCTCGGATAACCACGCCCCATTTATCAGAAGAGGAAGCAGAGGTTCCCAGAGGCCCTGTGCTTGGCCCAAGTTCTGGGATTGGCTCGGAGTTTGGATGTGTGAGATCCAGGATCCGCCCTCAATCCAGAGGAGGGAGGGGGCCGGGGGCTGGTGGACCGGGTCCTCACAGTCACTGGGGAGCGCAGACACTCTCGCATCCCATCACGTGGCCAAAGATGCCAGTGTTGAATGGCCACCACGTGGCGCACATGGGTGCCTCCTTCCGCGGATCTAGCCTAGAGGGCTCAGCAGGCCAGGGGCTTGCTCCCGGGAGCCTTGTTCTGTGGCCCGCCGAGCCGCCCGCTGACCGGCAGGGAGAGGGGCTCCTGCAGCCTGCCATGGGGCTCACGTCGGGTGCTGACATGTGGAGATGCCCCTGCCGGCCTGGTCGTCAGAATGGGCCCTTTATGTAAACGACAGCGCCCCCTCGAGCGCTGTGCCCCGACTCTGCCAGAAACTAGGGGACTGACCTTTTCTGCAGGTTTCTGTTTTGATTAATTAATGAGCTCATCTTTGGCTGTGTGGGTGTCTTGCTGTGCGCAGGCTTCCTCCAGTTGCCATGAGCAGGGATTGCTTGGTGGTGGCTCTGGGGCACGCGGGCCCGGGTGGGTGCAGCTCCCGGGCCCTCCAGCACCTTGGCTCCCCTGCCCTGAGGCACGCGGGGTCCTGCCGGGCCTGGGATCAGACCCATGCCCCTGCCTTGGCAGGTGGGCTCCCAGTGCCTCCTTCGGTTGTTGAAGGAGAATGTGCAATGCACGTGGGGGTGCCAGGGCGCCTCAGACCCCGGGGAGTGGGGCGGGGAGACGCCCAGCACCCGCTCACACCCCTGCGTCCGCGGGCAGGTATGGCCAGATGACGGCGGGCAGTTACTGCTACATCGGCCCCCAGGGCATCGTCCACGGCACGGTGGTGAGCGGCGGGCTGCGGGGCCGCGGGGCTGGGGGTGGTGACCCAGCGAGGGTGGTGACCCCTCCTGCTCCCCCACAGCTCACCGTGCTGAACGCGGGGCGGCGCTACCTGGGGCTCCAGGACCTGGCGGGCAAGGTCTTCGTCACCTCCGGGCTGGGCGGCATGAGCGGGGCTCAGGCCAAAGCTGCCGTCATCGTGGGGTGCATCGGTGTGATCGCAGAGGTGAGCCCGCAGGGGCAGCCCCCCGCCCCCTCGAGAGCCCCCCTGCCGCCCTTGCCCTCCCTGCTCTTGCCTCTGCCCTCCCATCCCAGCAAGGCAGACACCCCTGCCTTCCAAGTGCCCATCACTGCTGGGCCTGGAGCCACGCTCCCAGGATCTGGTCTCCCTTGCCTTGGGGCCCTGAGGTCCAGCCGGGAGATGGTAAACCTGTGAATAAGTGAGCAGAGACCCCCGCCATCAGGACAGAGCTGTCAGGTCAGGGGGAAGAGTGGGCGAGGGCCAACATCTCTAGAGTCTCTTGAGCTTCCCTCCTGGATACAAAGTGGCTTCCCCAGCTCCAGCCCCCTCATCTATATTCAAGGCAGACAGAAGGGGGAATGCCAGCTATGGCTGACTCTAGCAGAAAAATAATGCCTTAGAAACTCGTTTTACCACATTGGTCAGTACGGGCTCACATGGATGTTGTCATCTACAAGGATGGAGGGAAGGCGTGAGAGGGCAGTTGGGATTAGCTGGGAGCAGGGCGTCTCCCTGAGTGAAATCCGGGTTTGTTGACGTGGAGGCAGGAGGCGGCTCACAGCAGCTCGTAGGGTCGCCCCGCCCTGTTGGGAAGGGGGTGATCTTCACCCCTGCCCCGCGGCCCCAGGTGGATGGTGCGGCCCTCATGAAACGCCACCGGCAAGGCTGGCTGATGGAAGTGACCGACAGCTTGGACCACTGCATCGAAAGACTCAGGTGCGAGGCCTGGCGCGGGGGAGAGTGGGCTGGGAACGCTTGACCTCTGCTCCTCACTGGTGGCTCCTGGGAGTGTGGAGTGGCCCGGTGCGTCTCCCACACACGCGGTCTCACGGACATCCGTCGTCCTGCGGGTGACCCCTCCGCTCAGCCACGGTTGGGCAAAGACCACGTCTTACGTTTCTCCCTTCTGTGCCTCGGTGCCCAGCCCAGAGCCTGGCACACGGGAGGCGCTGCTTGGAGCTGCTGAATCTCCACAGGATCCATCTGGACCCACGGCTTCTCCCCACGGGGACCAGGCTGGTGCAGGGTCCCGGGGCCCTTCCCAGCTGTGTGCCCTCTGCTGAGATTTCTCAACGGGGACAGGCAGGGCCACCGGGAGGCCGCTCCTCAGATGCTGTCTTTGAAGCATTCTCTCAGCTGATTGCTCTGCAGAGCTGAGCACCTCCTGTGGGGGGAGTTTGCCTCGGCACAGAGGGCTTCACCTCCTGTGATGAGACCTGCCCAGAGGCGCAAGGGGACTTAGGTGACACTTTTTAAGAAATACTCCCATTACTGAGACTGGAGACTCTTTTGACACAGATCTTTGAAAACTTGCTGAAAACACTCCGTTAATTACTGGAGAAATTCTAAACTCCTTATGTGGCAGGGAGGGTCCTAACCTGATCTGGCCATGACCCTGAGGGCGCATCTGGAACACAGGTGCACACACATGCACTTGCGCACAAACACACACTTGCGTGCTTACGGGCACGCACATGCTCACACGTGTCCAACCGCTGTGCCGTTTCTGTCATCTCTGAATTTTTGTCACTCACACAAAGGTTGGGCACTTAACTCCCACAGTCACACACAGAAACACACACACAAGTCCAAATCAGAGTAACAGACGCTTCCGCAGCCGTTTTCGTGTATTCAGGTCTCCTGTTCCCCCAGACAGCAGGCCAGGGCTGCACCTTTGTCAGCCAGTCCTCAGTGAGGGCCCCCCGGTCCGCTGTGCCCCTCGGCCGGGGGCCTCATGGGTCCTCAGCCATATACTCACGCAGTGCTGTGGGTGCCTCCCGGGCCTCTGCGTCCTCACCAGCTGGGCACTGGGGTGCAGGATGCTGGGGTGTTGCCCTGGGCAGGAGTGATGGGGCCGCCTGTCCTGCTCCTGCCCCTTGCAGGGAAGCGAGGAAGACGAAGGAGGTGCTCAGCCTTGGTTACCATGGCAACGTGGTGGACCTCTGGTGAGTGGGGAGCTGGCTGCCTTGAGGACCCCCAGTGAGCCCTTGGCCGCGGTCCCAATGCTGGCCCGGTGCTCCTGGCTGTCATGGCCCTGGCACAGCTCACAGCAGACCCCCCACCCCGGCCACGGGTGCAGATGAGCCCCATGCCTGGCTACGGGGCCTGTAGGCCGGGAATACCGTGTGCCCTCCTGGATGGACCCTGAGCTGGGGCGCTGGCAGTACCCGCCCTGACCGGCCGTCTCCCCGCAGGGAGCGCCTGGTGCACGAGCTGGACACAACGGGGGAGCTCCTGGTGGACCTGGGGTCTGACCAGACGTCCTGCCACAGCCCGTTCAATGGCGGCTACTACCCTGTGCAGCTGAGCTTCGCAGAGGCCCGGAGCCTCATGGCCTCCGACCCCACTGCCTTCAAAGGCCTGGTCCAGGAGAGGTGATGCGGGCCCGGGCTGCCCGCGCGAGGGGTGGGGGTGCACACCGCCTGCTGGGGCTTTGGATAGGGTGGCTCTGTCCTCTGCCTGGTTCTCTCTCCACCAGCTTTGTGGCCTTGTGCAAGACCCTTAACCTCTCTGTGCCTCTGTCCCCTCCTCTGTCAGACAGGGTCATGAGTGCGTTGTTCCATGGGGATGTTGGGGATAGACTGGGGTGACATTTGCAAAACACTGAGGGCAGCTTCCAGCACCTCCGGGTGCTGCGTAGATGCTGGTAGAGGGGAGCCCGAGGCGCTTCCAGAAGAGGTCATTGCTTGTTCACCACGGGAGCCTGGGCCCCGTGCCTGGCTGGCTGGGACCTGTAGGCACTAGTTGAGTGACTGCCTGCAGGGTCTTCCCTGAAGGGAGAGAGACTCTGAGCAACCCCAGGGATGGGGGGCTTCCCAGTGGGAGGTGCTGGAGGTGGAGCAGGCAGGGGCGGGGTCAGCAGGGGAGGAGTCATAAGGGGAGGAGTCCAATGGGGTGGAGTCCGGAGGGGAGGAGTCTGAAGGGGTGGAGTCAGGAGGGGAGGAGTCCGCAGCGGGCTGAGTCGAGAGGGGAGGCCTCGGGCAGTGGTGCTGGCGCTGGCGCTTGCTGACTGCTGACCGCTCCTTTGCAGCCTGCGGAGGCACGTCTCAGCTATCAACAGGCTGGCCCGGGAGCACTTCTTCTTTTGGGACTATGGCAACGCCTTCCTCCTGGAGGCCCAGAGAGCCGGTGAGGGAGGCAGGAGGGGGCCCGGGCACACTCACCTAGCTGCAGGCCTGGCCGGCCGCCACTGCAGCCAGCAGGACGGGCCTTGGCATGTCTTCTGGGGGGTGGCCCTGCCAGGCCTCCGCTTCGCCGGGCCTCGGTCTCTCCCAGTGACTCTGGGCCCATCTGTGCGCACAGGGGCCGACGTGGGGAAGCCGGGCGCCAACAGGACAGAGTTCCGCTACCCCTCCTATGTGCAGCACATCATGGGGTGAGTGGGGGCGCTCCCAGCATCAGCCCTTAGACACGCAGGTCCGCAGACATGCTCGCACTGCTCAAGCCGCCTGCCGAGACCTGTGCTTGGTCCCAGGTGGCCACAGCCCCAGTCATGGGGTTTCCACCCCAGCGGGCAGGGGGAGAGGAGCTGAAAACCTGAGAGTCTGTGCAGCGTCTCAGGGAGAGAACAGGGGTTGGGGCCGTGCCTGAGGTCACCTCCGGAGAGCACCCCAACCTCCAGGTGCTCAGGGCTGACCTCCACCAGGTCCTGGACGCTGTGGCCGAGGAGCTGTCCAACCCTCAGTGGTGCCCCAGCCCCGAGCGGGTGGCAAGGGCCCCGTCCCTGCAGCCCTCGTGCCTTCCTGGCCGACGGGGGCCTGCTGCAGGGCGAAGACAGGGTGGAGTCTGCCCCCGGGCAGCTGGGTGGGGCGGGAGGCCCCCGGGTGTGCAGGAGAGAGGACCGGCGGGGGGCGGGGGAGGGGGTGAGAGAGGCCAGCACCCTTCTCAGGTTCATTGTTGGAAGGGAGAGGGCCAGAGTGGGGCCATGACCACAGGCTGGGAGGGGGGGTCCCCAGGGGGCAACAGGAAGGGAGCCCAGCAGAGGCTGGGTGGGCGCGAAGCCTAGGGAGGGCCTGCACCCCTCTGCCTGGAGCCCCCTTGAAGGTCCCAGCAAACGGGCCGAGTTTCTGTTGATTGTGCACTCCCACCTGGTTTTCAGGTTGTCTCTAACCATGGTTTAGGGAAGCTCTGCTTGTCTGCGTCCCAGCTCCCTGCTCCTGCAGCCAGAGAAGCTGCAGCTCTGGGAGGGATGCTGTGGTGATGGAGGGGGCGGGCAGGGCTGGGACCGCTGCACCTGCTGGTTGAGAGGCTTCCGGCAACCTTGCTGGTGGCCGACGCTCTGCCTCATGACAGAGGCCCCGTACTTTGTGTACAGCCTTCACCCTGTCAGTTCTGGAGCATCTGCGGCCTCCCTGACCTTGGACCACGCCAATCCCAGCTCCTGGGGCTGCGGCTAGCCCGAAAACCAACCCCCCCCCCCACCCGCTGGTGACGAGCCGTCTGCCTTTGCAGGGACATATTCTCCCAGGGCTTTGGGCCTTTCCGCTGGGTGTGCACCTCGGGGGACCCCCAGGACCTGGTGGTCACAGATCGGTTGGCCATGTCTGTGTTGGAGGAGATTGTTGCTGGCGGAGGTGAGGCTGAAGATGCTGGTGTGCGGGTGGGCCCCCTGCCTGGCAGTGCCTGGAGCCTGGATGCAGGGTCCACCCCCCGCCCCCCCGGCCCCATGGGCACAGGGCACATTCCCTGGGGCTGCCTGTGGACGGTGCTCGGGCTCCTGTAGCCAGCTCTGTGCTGACCTGTGCCGCCCCCTCCACGTGTCCAGGCTGCTCTGCTCTCTCCACATCAGAGCTGCCCCAGGCTGTCTGTGGACACAGCGTGGCTCTGCTCCCCCCCGTGGGTGGCCCTGGCCCAGTCGCAGACCCTCCTTGTATAGTGGACGGGGCAAGAGGACCCAGTTACTTTATGGCACCTCCCCGGCCCCCTGCCTGCCACAGCTCCTGCCCTGTTGCTCTGCGGCTTCTCCCTGGGCCCAGGCAGCCTTCTCTGTTGGTAGTGGGTCAACCTTTGCAGCTTATTGTAAATCTTCCGGGGCCAGTTTCACCCTGCCGCCCACATCTGGGTTGACTGAGCTGAGTGGCAGGGGCTTAGGGTCAGGGGACCCAGGAGGAGAGCCTGATGGGCAGGGCCACCTTGTGGGCAGAGTCACCCCTACTGGCTCGGGAGGAAACTGAGGCAGTTCAGTTCTGCTCAGTCACTCAGTCGTGTCCAGCTCTTTGCAACCCCATGGACTGCGGCACACCAGGCCTCCCTGTCCATCACCAACTCCCGGAGCTTGCTCAAACTCATGTCCATCGAGTCGGGGATGCCATCCAACCATCTCATCCTCTGTCATCCCCTTCTCCTCCCGCCTGCAATCTTTCCCAGCATCAGGGTCTTTTCCAATGAGTCAGCTCTTCACATCAGGTGGCCAAAGGAGTTTCAGCTTCAGCATCAGTCCATCCAATGAATATTCAGGACTGATTTCCTTTAGGATAGACTGGTTGGATCTCCTTGCAGTCCAAGGGACTCTCAAGAGTCTCCTCCAACACCACAGTTCAAAAGCATCCATTCTTCAGCTCTCAGCTTTCTTTATGGTCCAACTCTCACATCCATACACGACTACTGGAAAAACCATAGCTTTGCTAGATGGACCTTTGTTGGCAAAGTAATGTCTCTTTAATATGCTGTCTAGATTGGTCATAGCTTTTCTTCCAAGGAGCTAGTGTCTTTCAATTTCTTGGCTGCAATCACCATCTGCAGTGATTTTGGAGCCCCCCAAAATAAAGTCTCTCACTGTTTCCATTGTTTCCCCATCTATTTGCCATGAAGTGATAGACCTGGATGCCGTGATCTTAGTTTTCTGAATGTTGAGTTTTAAGCCAACTTTTTCACTGTTCTCTTTCACTTTCATCAAGAGGCTCTTTAGTTCTTCGCTTTCTGCCATAAGGGTGGTGTCATCTGCATATCTGAGGTTATTGATATTTCTCCTGGCAATCTTAATTCCAGCTTGTGCTTCATCCTGCCCAGTATTTCTCGTGATGTACTCTGCATATGAGTTAAATAAACAGGTTAAGAATATACAGCCTTGATGCACTCCTTGCCCAATCTTGAACTAGTCTGTTGTTCCATGTCCGGTTCTAACCGTTGCTTCTTGACCTGCATACAGATTTCTCAGGAGGCAGGTAAGGTGGTCTGGTATTCCCATCTCTTGAAGAATGTTCCACAGTTTGTTGTGATCCACACAGTCAAAGGCTTTGGCTTAGTTAGTAAAGCAGAAGTAGATGTTTTTCTTTCTGGAAGTCTTGCTTTTTTGATGATCCAGCTGATGTTGGCAATTTGATCTCTGGTTCCTCTGGCTTTTCTAAATCCAGCTTGAACATCTGGAAGTTCATGGTTCACGTACTGTTGAAGCCTGGCTTGGAGAATTTTGATCATTACTTTGCTAGCATGTGAGATGAGTGCAATTGTGTGATAGTTTGAACACTGTTTGGCATTGCCTTTCTTTGGGATTGGAATGAAAACTGACCTTTTCCAGTCCTCGGGCCAGTGCTGAGTTTTCCAAATTTGCTGGCATATTGAGTGCAACACTTCCACAGCATCATCTTTTAGGATTTGAAATAGCTCAACTGGAATTCCATCGCCTCCACTAGCTTTGTTTGTAGTAATGCTTCCTAAGGCCCACTTGACTTCACATTCCAGGATGCCTGGCTCTAGGTGTGTGATCATACCATTGTGATCTGGGTGGCCTCCTCCAGCTTCTGGATGTTTGTACAGCTGCAGACCCTCAACCTGCCAGGTGACTGCTGGTGTTCCCACTGTAACCACCCTCCAGGGGCGATTTCACGCAAGCGAGGCTCCGCATGGAGCGGGAGCAGGGTGTCCCCCAGCCAGAAAACCTCGGGGCACAGCTCCTAGTAAGGAGCAGGAACATCACTAAGTGATGTGGGAACATTACCTTCATTTTTAATACAATTTTTTCAGTTTATTTGACTGAAACTTTATAGACATCTGTAAACCACAGGCTCACAGAATTCCTGCAGATTTAGTAGTCTGTTCCCACGAGCACCTTGGCGGACCCCCCTCTCCAGCCCTCCACTCTTTTTTTTTTAATCCCTCCACTCTTAACTGCCTGCCTGTCCTACCTCGAGAGGCCTCAGCGCCTCTGTACTCGATGCCCCCTCTGCAAAATGCTGTTCCCTCAATTCGATGTAGCTGGCTCCTCTTTAGCATCTTGACACTTGCCTTGAGTGTCACCTCTCCAGAGAGGCTCCTGGTCCCCCTGACCCCCCACCCCAGTCTCAACTGCACTTGTTTCCTTCTTGGCCTGCAGTAGTCTTGGCTCTGGAGCCTGGCACGTAGCAGATGCTCCTTAGATATTCACTGCGAGTCGAGTGCTGACTTGCCCAATTGCTGGCATTGCCATTGCCAGAAGTCAGATGGGCTGGCGGGAAGCTGGGGATGGAAGCATCCCGACCCTGCTCGGCGTCCAGTGGTGGGTACAGACGGGTGCCTTAGCCCAGCGGCCTTGCAGCGGGAGTGTATGCCCCCACCGTGGGGGCAGGGGCTCTGGTACCTGTGACACCCCCCCCCTCCCCACCGCCTGTAGTGACCCCGGCCGTGAAGCTCCAGTATGAGGACAACATCCGCTGGATCCGGGAGGCTGCTAAGCACCAGCTGGTGAGGCTCCAGCTGGGGGTGGGGGGGGGGGGCGCGGTGTGGACCTTGCCCCAGGTAAGATGCTGCTCACTATCTGGACAGCTTGGGGAGGCCCTACTGGCCACCTCGCCCAGGGGCACTGTACAGAGAAGCCTTTCAGAAGGTGGCCTGGACTCAGGTAGCAGAGGTAGCGACCTGGGTCAGGTAGGTCCTTCCTCCCATCATGGCCCGGCAGGTCCCTGGAGCCAGACCTCCTGACTTCTCAGCTGTGTGACCTGGGGTGAGTGGCTTGGCCTCTCTGGGCCTCCCCTCCCGTCTGCACAGTGGATACTGGAGGTGGTACAGCCCCTGGCTGTGGTGCGGGGCTTGGAGCAGGACCTCTGCGGGGCCAGGGCAGGGCAGATGGGTGTTTCTATGCCTGTGAGCATGATGACAGATCAGATGACCCAGGGAGTTGGGGGTAGGGGGTGTTGGCAGTGTAGCAGAAGGGTGCCTCTGAGGAGCTGACTTGCAAGTTCAGGCCTAAGCGGGGCTGGGTCGAGGGGTGACAGTTGGGAAGCAGAGGGACCCCCAGCCAGTGCACAGGTCTGGGGAGGCAGCTTGGATGCGCCCAGACCAAACAAAAGACAGGCGTTTGGTTCTGATGGCTGGACGCTGCCACGTCTGCACCAGTGAGTCCTTGGCCTGGGGTTCAGCCACACCTGCCCTGAGCCCCCGTTCCTGGGCTTCCCAGTCCAACCCCATCCACCCAGACTGCCGCCGCCGCCTGTACCAGTGGCTGCATGTGTGTTTCTCCGCGGAACCCCTCATGCCAACCACCCAGTGCCTGAGATGTCCAGATGTCCACGGCGGGGCCGCTGGACTTGAAGACCTGGGCCTGGGGAGGGTGGGGCAGGAGGTGGAGATGGGGGCGGGGCCTGACAGAGACGCACAGTTTGTCACCTCCCAGGGGAGAGTCTGTCAGCCTGGAGCCCCTGGGGCTAGCCCTGCGGTGACTGGTCAGGAGGGATATCTGCAGTAGACGCCCCCAGACTGCGCTAGACACACGGGCTGGGCATGGGGCTGGGCTCCCACGACTGCCGTCCAGCAGCTGGGGTCGTGTCTCCTGAGCATCACCCTTCTCGCCATAGGTGGTGGGCTCCCAGGCCAGGATCCTGTACTCGGACCAAAAAGGCCGTGTGGCCATCGCCATGGCCTTCAACCAAGCCATCGCCCGTGGGGAGCTCAAGGTGGGCGCCCCGCCAGGCCAGCCCTCAAGCCCGGGCTCCGCTGTGCGCCCTGCCGTGAGACTCTGGGCAGTCAGGGGCCATCTCTGAGCCTTGTAACCTCAAAGCGTGGCTTCCCCTCCAGTGTTTCAGGCTGTCTTTGTCGAACTGTCCCTTTCACATGGCGACAACCCAATCCGCCTTACTCCGTCTCCCTAGCGGTCAGCCCCGCCTACCTCGCTCAGCGCAGGCGCACAGGGCGCTAAAGCTGTGGGCGGTACAGCTGTGGTCGCTCCAGCTACTGCGCTTCATCCCTCTCCCTCTCCGCCTCCGCCTTCCTCCCTCCTTCCGGTCAGCTCCGCCCACCTCGCTCGGCGCATGCGCGCAGGGCGCCTCTTCGTGCCACCTCCCTCTCCGTCTCTCCCTCCTCCCGCCTCCTTCCAGTCAGCCCTGTTCACCTCGCTCGGCGCATGCGTGTACGGCGCGTCTTCGTCCCCATCCTCTCCTTCCGCCCTCTCCTTCCTGAGCGCCCGCCCCCCCGCCCCGGTGCAAACCTTGCTCCATCACGGGTCTCCCGGCAGAGCACAGGGCAGACAGGGTTCCCCCCGGTGCAGGTGGAGGGACACTGTGGATGCGTGGGCAAGGCCATCGGCCCACGGGCTGTGAGCGTGCTGCGCTCCGCGGGTGAAGTGAGTGAGCAGAGCGCGTAGGGTCAGGACTGGGCTCCGTGCTGCAGGCGGAGCCGTGAGTGTCCCCGGCGCCAGCGCACGGGGCTGGGGGTCCCGTGCAGAGCGGGGTCAGGCCCGGCCTGCTGAAGCGCTGGGCAGCTCCTGCGACCTCCGATGAGCGCCAAAGCCCCGGCCTGTCCCTGCAGCCCTGAGATTGGGGCTCCGTAAAGTGGGCGTGGTGACTGTGGACAGGGTAGCGGTGACTCTGAGCCAGCATCTGGGGGCGCACAGGCTCTGGGTGGACAGAAGGGGCATCTCTGGGCAGTCACAGGGGGCGAGGGGCGTTGGAACCCCCTGCGCCCTCCTGCAGAGGGTCTGCTTCCCAGGGTAGTCCAAAGGGCGTCTGACGTGGCCTGACCCTTGAACTCTGCCCCGGGCCAGGCAGTGGACACCGCCGCTGACCTTTCATGCCCTTCCACACCGCAGGCACCGGTGGTCCTGAGCCGAGACCACCATGACGTGAGTGGCACCGACAGCCCCTTTCGGGAGACCTCCAACATTTACGACGGCTCTGCCTTCTGTGCAGGTGAGGAGGACGGCGCGTCTAAAATGTGTTTCTGTTGGATTTGGATTTTATGTAAAAATCAAGTGGTTCATTCAATCTGTCACGGTGCTGCGGAAAAGGCTGCTGGCTTCTGAGGGGCCAAGGCCCAGGGTGACCAGCCCATGATGGAGGCGGCTCTGGGACACTGGACACAGTTGTAAACGTCAGCTGGAGCCAGTGGACCGGGCCGGTGGAAGCCCAAAAGCTGGGCACGGCTGGCCCCGTCACTTGCCAAGGGGTCTGCAGAGGGTCCTCAGGGTCCTCGTCTGTGACACGGGGCCAACAGCGGGCCCTCCTCTGTTGTGAAGGGTGCACTGAGTTCTAGTGTGGGAGTCATGTCAGCTCCCCCAGACCGGGTTCTGTGAGGGGCTGTTACCATCACACAGAGAGCCTTCTGCTCCTGGGGGCTTTCTTGTCCCCAGCACCCGAGGCTGTGGGGTTCACACTGTCTTTCCTGATGTTAGTCTTTTCTGTCTTCTTTCTCTTTCCTTGATCAGCTTGGCTAGACATTTTTCAATTTTATTGATCTTCTCAAAGAAGTTTTTAGTTAGATTTTTTTCTATTACTTTTTTGCTTTCAAATTGATGGATGTCTAGTCTTATCTTTACTATGACCTTCTTCCTATTTACTATTTTAGTTTAGTTTGCTCTTCTTTCTCCAGTTTCATAAGGTTTTCTTTTCTAATAAGAATATTTTAATGTTATGAATTTCTCTCTAATCTTCCCGATTTTTGCAAAATATATTTTTATTTTCATTCAGTTCAAAATACTTTTAAATTTCCTTTGGTACATCCTCTTGGAACCATGGATTATTGTGAAGTATCTTTTTAAATTTTCAAATGTGGGGAGATTTTTCAGTTAATCTTTCTGTTACTGACTTCTGAGTTAATTCCAATATAGTCTGAGAGCTTACTTTGTATTCATCCTGTTATTTTAAACTTGTGTTCAGGGTTGTGTTGTGGCCTCGAAGGTGGTCCGTCTTGATGCACCTGGGAAGAACATGTATTCTGCTGTTACTCGGGGGCTTGTTCTTTCTTATTTTTTTAAAATTTTTAAGCAGTTTTTTTGATGTGGACCATCTTTATTGAATATGTAACAACACTGCTTCTGTTTTATGTTCTGGTTTTTTGACCGTGAGGCACATGGGGGTCTTAGCTCCCCAACTGGGGATGGAACCTGCACCCCCTGCATTGGAAGGTGACGTTTTAACCACTCGACCACCAGAGAAGTGCTGGGGGCTTTCTCTACATCTCACCTAGGTGAAGTCGGTTAATAATGCTCCTCCTGTAGTCAGGACCCTTGCTGACCTTCTGCTGACATGTCCCCTAGATGACCGAGAGTGAGGTGATGCAGTTCCCGACTCTGCATTTGTCTGTTCCCTCCACAGTCGTCCTCCGCTGTGCCGTGTTTTAAAGCTATGTTGTCAGGCGTGCCCTTGTTTATGTGTTTATGTGTATTGTCTCTTCTTGGAAAGTTGACCTTTTTACCATCTTGTGACGGCTCTCTTTATTTCTTTTTTCGTTTTAAAACATTTTTTGGCTGCCTCATGTGACACGTGGGATCCTAGTACCCTGACCAGGGATCAAACCCCGGGCCCCCTGTGTTGGGAGCGCAGAGTCTTAACTGCTGGACCACCAGAGATGCCCCTTTTTATCCTTGATACTGCTGGCTCTCACGTTCTCTGACATTAATGTAGTTTACATTGGTATTCTTCGGGTGTAACAATTGACCGCTAACTTAAAGGCTGGAAGCAGCATGCGCGTGTTCCCTGAAGTTCTGAAGACCCGATGTCTGAAATCAATTTCTCGAGGCCTAGGTCGAAGTGTGGGCAGGGCCCCGATGTCTCAGGAGGCAGCCAGGGGCGGGTGGGTGGCTCTTTGGCCTTTGCCAGGTTCTGGAGCTGTTCTGGGGCATCTCACAGTCCCATGCGAGATGGAGTCATTCCCGCCTCTTCTCTGCAGGGGCTTTGAGGAAGAGCCCACCAGGGGCAAGGCCCTTTGTCCCTGGCCCGGGGGCTGGTATCAGGGCGGCTCCGACTCTTTCAGCAGGTCCTTGGACAGTGGTGAGGCTCGGTTCCGCCTCTGTGCAGGTGCCTGTCTGCCTGTAGAGTCCTGTCTGGCTGCCTGCCCTGGGGCCTCGCCCAGTGATGCCCGGGGCAGTCCGCAGCGCGCAGCTTGTCCCTCGCCCGCTGGCTTGTTTCTCTGAAGGGTGGGACTGATGCTGTTTGTCACTTGAGCGACAGTTCCTCCGTCCTCGGTACCTCTGGGGTGCTGCCCCTGTGCCCGTACTGGGCAGGTGGCAGTGGGCATCGGGCACTCGTTCGGTGCTCCCGCTTCACTGGGCTCTGAGAACGCAGTGTCTGCAATTCCTACAGTCGCCCTCCCTGGTTGCTGTCTGAGCCCCCGACCCTGGCCCAGGCTGGCCGCCTTGCCAGGGGCTGACCGTGCTCTCTTTCTGCAGACATGGCCGTGCAGAACTTTGTGGGCGATGCGTTCCGTGGAGCCACCTGGGTCGCCCTGCACAACGGTGGTGGTGTTGGATGGTAAGAAGGTTCCTGAGGGCCAGTGGCGCAGGTGGGGGCTCCCCGGGAGTCTCGGGGGGCCCTCCCACATCCCGCGCCTGTCTCTCCAAGCTCCCTCTACTGAGGGCTCCTTGTGTGAACTGGACGTGGGGGCCCTGCCCAGCCTGCCCCGTGCAGTCTCCTGCCTCTTGCGGGACACTGTGAGTCGTCCTTTCCCGTGTGGTTCTTCTGCTGCTTTCAGATGTTCTCCAGGGAACCCTTAGAGTCATCCTGGCCCCGTCCTTTGACTTCGCCAGGGCGGCTGGGCTGGGCAGCGGCAACCTGGATCTGGGCTCCCTGGCTCCTGGCCCTGCGCTGCCCAGCCAGGCCTGTCTCCAGCCCAAGCTACAGGCCAGCTGGGGTTCTGGGAGGCTCCCTCCTGGACCACAGACGAGTGCCCTTGCGAGGTTGTCCCTGATTCTGCACCCAGTTTCAGCCCATGGGCGTTTCCAGCACCGGGTGTCCTGCAGCTCAGCTCAGCTCAGCTCAGCTCAGGCCCCATGCTTTCAGCCTGGAGATGACACCACATCCCACAGCTGGGGGCTCAGTCCCTCAGGGCCAGCCCCCTCCACTCACCGCCCCACTTCCTGACCCTGGTCACAGGCCTGCAGCGTCACCTGTGCTCCCCTCGCCCCAGCTGGAGATCACAGGTCCCTATGGTCCCTACGGCTCAGTTCCCGTGCTTTGCTGGAGCAGCTCACGGAAGGCAGGGATTTCTGAAAAAAATGACCAAAGACATCAAAGGGTGTGAATCAGTAGCCAGAGGAGGAGGCGCATGGGGTGAGCACGAAAAGGATCACCTGACCGCAGGGGCCGGGGCAGGCACAGCCACACATGCCCGTGTTCTGGTTCCCCAGCCGGCCACTCTCCAGGCCCCTCCTCTGGGGCTTCCCTGGAGGATCCCTTCCACGGGTGTGACTGACTCCATCACTGGCCACGGGCGACTGGCTCCACCTCCAGCCCTTCCCCCTCTGCCGTGTTCAGGGCCTGGGCCCCAGCTTCCAACTGTGGGTCACAGGGTGGCTCCTCCGGCAGCCAGCCCTTCCCGCTTGGCTGAATTCCCAAAGTCACCTCATCAGCAGGACGAAAGACACCTTCATCCTGCTCATCACAGGAAATTACAAGGGTTTAAGGAGCTCTGTGCTGGGAACTGTGGGCAAAGACCAAACGTTTATTTCTCATTATAAGTAACAATGTCCCATTTGCTGCTGAGAAAAATGAATAACTGGTGTCCATCCTAAAGGAGATCAGTCCTGAGTATTTACTGGAAGGACAGATGCTGAAGCTGAAACTCCAGTACTTTGGCCACATGATGCAAAGAACTGACTTATCTGAAAAGACACTGATGCTGAGAGAGATTGAAGGCGGGAGGAAAAGGGGACGACAGAGGATGAGATGGTTGGACGGCATCACCAACTTGACAGACTCGGTGAATGGGTTCTGGAGATGACGGGATTCCTCTGGCGGGGGCCAGTGGTGGAGCCAGTGGTGGAGCCGGGTCTGGATTTATATCTTTCGTCCCCAGATTCCTGAAATAGGAGCCAGAACGGCAGAAGGCAGGCGGGGCAGGACATGAGGGCCTCGGGCACTGCTCGCCATGGGGGCCCCCCCACCAGGCTGCCCCCAAGGCTCTGACGGCGCGGCCTGTGAGGCGCTGGAACCGAGGCTGTTAGTCATGGTGCCCTAGGGGGCACCTTTGGGAAATTGCCTAGGTTGACTGCAGAATCCGTGAGACACACACATGTGTAATTTAATCCACCAGATACTCCTGCAAACATTCCTGGAAATGCAGTGGGAAAACACCCCCCCACCCCCGCACACAGCCTTCCTTCCAGTTTCAGCTGCGTCTCTTGCTTCCAAGTCACGGTTTGCCCTGACGTTTCTGAGTTTGCTCCAAGTTTCCCCACTGCGTGTCAGCTCCCTGTTCCTGAGCCGATCCGTGTCAGCACTGGGTTCCCTACAGGCCCCACGCCCTGCCCCGTCTGTTCTGACCGCGTGCTGAGGTCTGGCCCATGCCGTCTGCCCCATGGTCCTAGCCGGTGGCTGCCGTGTGGATGGGGACCACGGGCTGCAGAGTGGGAGACTCAGTGGTCAGGCTCTGGTCTTGGCTGGTTGGCCAGCTCCATAGAGACAGTGGGCCCCAGTCCCTCCGGGTAGGGTGTGCAGGTCCCTGTGGGTGGGACCAGCCCCCAGGCCTGTGTCTCTGAGGAACAGATGCACTGTCCAGGTTCGATCCCTGGGTCGGGAAGATCCCCTGGAGAAGGGCATGGCTACCACTCCAGCATTCCTGCCTGGAGAATCCCATGGACAGAGGAGCCTGGCGGACTGCAGTCCATGGGGTCTGGGACTTCACTTTATCCAGATACTGACACTGTCTCCCTACCAGAGCACATCTTGAAGCCAACTGTGTGTGGGCATCCCTGAGGGGCCTGTTAATATGTGGATCCTGACGGCAGGTCAGGGCGGGGGTCTGCGTCCCTGCCCAGCTACGGGTGATGGTGCCATGGGGCCCCTGGGGGTAGCAGCCTGGATTCTGAGGTGACTTGTCCGCACAAGTCTCACTGTTTTTTGGGGACAAATGGTTGTGACAGCTGCATGCTTCTCAGGCTGCTAACGGTGAAGACCCGTCACAGGAGCCGTGGCTCCTCCAGGGCCCACGCTGGTCTCCCAGGACACTTAACGTCAGCACCACTCATCAGCTCGATGGTCCCACCTCAGAGGCAGATGCACCCAGAGCTTGACCCTGCAGATGCTGGCGGCTCGGCCACAGTTCCAGCTCCTGAGTGAGGACTCCCATTTGCATAACCTCGGCTCCGGCCGCCTTCACACATCAGACCCGGGGCCCTGGGCTTAGTGGCTGAGAAGTCCCGACCCTGCTCCGCCCTGAGTTGCTTTCGGTCTCCAGGACCGTGTGGCTGAGTTCTGTGGGCTTTCCTGCTCATCTCACGGTGTCGAGTGTCTCCTTAGTACAGCCAGCACTGACCTTACGTGTGACCTTCTCCCCGGGACCATTCTCTGGCCAGTGACTGCTCCATGACATGAGAAGGCTCCCCGTCTCTGGTCGTCCTCCTGGGCCTAGGGCTCCTCCGACCGGGTTTGCAGAGGCCACCTGGAGCTGAACATCTTTGCCCCCTGACTGTCCGTGCCTGGGAGTGACCCTGAAACCCTTTGGCTTCTTGCAGGGGCGAGGTGATCAACGGGGGCTTTGGCCTTGTGTTGGACGGGACTGAGGACGCTGAGCGGAAGGCCAGGAGGGTGCTCAGCTGGGACGTCGCCAACGGAGTGAGTGACTGCCAGCATCCCCCAAGGCTCTCCCTTGTGCAGACTGCAGACCCTCCTCCTTCCCGAAAGGTCTTCGACCCTCCTGCCGCTGCGGTGTCTACCCCGAGCCACTGCCAGTGTGTCCCTCCACGGCAGACAGCCTGCGTTTCACCAGGGCTGTTTCCTGGCCAGCCTGTGTCCACGGGGCCACCGCCTCTGTGTGCATCTGAGAGCACAGCTGCATACACTCGTGTGTGTCCTGACACTCGTGTGTGTGTGTGTCCTGATGTGTGTGTCCTGATGTGTGTGTGTCCTGATGTGTGTGTGTGTGCTGACACGTGTGTGTGTGTGTCCTGATGTGTGTGTGTGTGTCCTGACATGTGTCTGTGTGTCTGTGTGTGTCCTGACACGTGTCTCTCTGTGTGTGTCCTGACACGTGTGTGTGTCCTGACACTCGTATCTGTGTCCTGACGTGTGTGTGTGTGTCCTGACACGTGTGTGTGTGTCCTGATGTGTGTGTGTGTGTGTGTCCTGATGTGTGTGTGTGTGTCCTGATGTCTGTGTGTGTCCTGATGTCTGTGTCTGTGTGTGTGTGTGTCCTGACATGTGTGTGTGTATGTGTCCTGATGTGTGTGTGTGTCCTGATGTGTGTGTGTGTCCTGACATGTGTCTGTGTGTCTGTGCGTGTCCTGACATGTGTCTCTATGTGTGTGTCCTGACACGTGTGTGTGTCCTGACACTCGTGTCTGTGTCCTGACGTGTGTGTGTGTGTCCTGATGTGTGTGTGTCCTGATGTGTGTGTGTGTGTGTCCTGATGTGTGTGTGTGTGTGTGTGTGTGTCCTGGTGTGTGTGTGTGTGTGTCTTGACACATGTGTGTGTGGGGGGTGTGTAGGGCCCCATCCCTGAGGGTTAGGGGAGGCATGACAGATGGGGGTCTGGGTGATGGGGGTGGGTTTACAGGATGTGAGTCAAACGGGGAGGGGGCTGGGGAGCCCACCTGCAAGGGGCCAAGGGTTAGACTCAGGCCTAGGAGAGTAGTGGGGCGACTCCCGGGAGCCCCCAGGACGGGGGCTGCGCTTCCTCCTCGAGTCCGGGAAGCCGGAGGGAATGGGTGGGGTGGGTGGGGTGCCAGGGCCATGTCCGGGGGCCCCTGACAACACAGGCCAGATGGGAGGAAGGGAGCGGCTGGGGAGGGCCTGAAGTGGAGCCGAGGTGGTGTGCTCCGGGGACCCGCGGGCTGGGCGGGGCCTGGCACCGAGGACACGCCCCTCCCACCCCTCAGGTGGCTCGCCGCTGCTGGTCCGGGAGCCCCATGGCCTACGAGGTCATCTGCCAGACGATGCGGGAGGACAGTAGCGTGGCGGTGACGCTGCCACACACCGTGGCGGACGAGTGTGTGCTCCAGGCGCTGCAGCAGTGAGGGGACTGGGCACCCCGCGGTGCCCTGCCCCCGGTCCTGCCCCCACCTCACATTCCCCAGCCCGCTGCTCGCCGTGCTCCCCCGGGTCCGGAGCTTTGCACACGGGTGTGCGTAGACGTGCACGCTCACACAGGCATGCACACACAAGCATGTACGTGCACTTACAAGCATGCACACACGCAAGCATGCCCTCTTCCGTCTCACCACCCCAGAGGCAGTGTCACTGCATCCCCATCTTACAGACCAGCCAGTGAGGCAGGGCCGTCTGCTCTCACCACGCGGCTCCCCTGGGGGCCTGGAGGGCAGTGAGGGTCTCCTTCAGTGTGGGGAGCTCAGGCCTGCCGTGGAGGGGACTCCAGGGGCTGGTGCCCAGAAGACTGGCTGAGTGGGGCTCCAGCTGGCCCATGGAGCGGCCTACAGTTCTTCCTCCCCCGGGCGCAGGGTTCATTTGGCCAGATTCTCATCTAACATCCATCGCCCCCCAACCCCTGACTAACTGTCCACACCAGGGACCCACAACCTTGGCGCACAGACCAGCCTGGCTCTGACCATATTCCTCATTCTTTGTCCTCCGTCTTAGCTGAGCCCCTGCTGGGCCCATGACAGGCTTAAACTGAGAAAGACTTTGGGGATGGGTCTCCAAGGAGCCCCCCAAAAACTTGACACCCTCCACCCTTTGTGTCTAGTCTCAACCACGCCATATGGCCTGTCTCCTCCCCACTGGCCATTCTGCCTTTGTCTGAGCTCACAAAACCCCAGTGTTGTCTGGGTAGCAATATACACAGAAGAAGTAGTTGATTTTCCAGCCTGCCTAGTAATCAAGAATAAGCATTGACCTGGTTCCAGCCCAACAGACTGTGGAAGTCTGCTGGATGGGTCTCCTGGAAAAGCTGTAATAAAAATGAACTGATGTGGCTGTGTCACATTTTTGCTTTTGCCCCTTCTTTCTGCCAGAATCTCAGGTGTGATGCCTGGAAGCACAGCAGCTCTGCTGTGACCATGAGGGGATCACTGAACACATGGAGACTTGTGGAAAGGCAGAGGTGCCTGGGCTTCTGGCAGCGCTGGATGCTACTGTGCCAGTCCTGGTGCCTTCTCCTTTCCTTGGTCCTCACCTGCTCAAGCCATCCTTGCAGGCTTCTGTTGCACATGGTGAGCGTGGGGTCCGGATGTAGAGGAGGGCTCCTGTCTCTCGCCATGGGCTTTCCAAAGGGGTCCCCTATCCTGGAGTCTGGGGCCAGAGTCCTGGGGTTGAAGATTTTTTTGCCCCCCCCCTTTTTTAAAGTTTTTTGACTTTGTCACCAATTTTTAGAAATTGGGAAATTTCACTTAAAAAAGCAAACTCAGGTTTTGAGTTACTTAAAGTCAGGAGAGTAAGTGATACTTGTTGATACAAGTCTCCTTGAAGGTCATGCTGTTGTATGGATCTGCACAAACATTCCCTGTTTCTCGGGGGAAATGTGTGTGTTCAGTGTGAAGACCAGGACCTCCTGTCATGCTTTCCGCCCAGCACCCTGAGCCCTTCAGGGCCAGGGCTCGGCCAGCCTCCGGGCAGCGTCTCAGGAGGCTTGTGGCCACGTCCGAGGGCTCCAGACCCTCCCTGGGCTCCCGCCGAGCCCACCAGGGAGCATGCCCCCTCCCCCCGTCTCTGCTGCCAGCAGGGAGAAGGGACGGCTGACACCGCCGCGGGGCCCAGGAGGACGGCGGAGCAGCTGACCACAGACTTGGTAGCTGTGGAGGTGCCAGAGAAAGCGTGCCACCCCCACGGGCCTGCGGCCACTGTCCCCAGCCCCTGCAGCACACCCCCAGTGTTCAGGGCGAAGGTCAGGGCATGTCTCTGCGCTCTGGGGAGAACGGGTGCAGCAGACCCTCGGTAGTCAGATATTTCCAGAGAAGTTGTTTATGAACCTGGGTTCTGGCCTCTTACCACAGTTAGGAAAGCACTAAAAACCCCTAGCTTAGATTCCACTCCCCACAACCTGCATCCACCTTCTGCCAGCCTTCTGTAAGGGAGCAGAGAAGCGTCGTTCACTCAGAAATGTGTTCATCGAAACATGAAGATAGGAACCAACTGGCCCTGGTGGGAGTGGGCCTGGCTGCCTTGAGAACTGCAGAAGCCTCAGGGCCCGCCCTGGCGGCCTCTGCTCCCTGGCGGCCTCTGCTCCCTGGCATCTAGGACTGCCCGGGGAAAGACTTTCCTGCCCCTCCCTGGCGGCCTCTGCTCCCTGGCACCTAGGACTGATTGGGGACAGACTTTCCCGCCCCTCCCTGGCGGCCTCTGCTCCCCGGCGGCCTCTGCTCCCTGGCATCTAGGACTGCCCGGGGAAAGACTTTCCCTGCTGGCCAGCCCAGGCCAGGGCAGGAGGGCTCTGCTCTGTTGCCCTGGGCTTTCCAGAGGGGACCCCTATCCTGGGTCTGGGGCCAGACTTGACTTGGGGTTGCGTTTTATTTGCCCCCCCCACCTTTAAAATTTGACTTTGTCACCAATTTTTAATAATTGGGAAATTCCACTTAAAAATCCAGATTTGAGTTACTTCGAGTTTAGGTGACAGCATGCACTCGCCGCCCCTGCTGTCATCACCTGGAGGGCTCTGGGGCCTGGGCTTGTTTTATCCAACTTGCCACAGTCCCCACCAGCCTCTGGGACTTCCCAGGGCGCGCGAGTGGTAAAGAAGCTGCCTGCCAGTGCAGGAGACAGATGAGACATGGGTCTGATCCCTGGGTCGGGAAGATCCCCTGGAAGAGGAAATGGCAACCCACTCCAGTGTTCTTGCCTGGAGAATTCCATGGACAGAGGAACCTGGTACGCTACAGTCCACGGGGCCGCAGAGAGTCGGACACGACTTAGTGATTTAGCTCACACACACGCCATTGGTCTCTACGGCGCGGCAGGCCGTAACGTGTTTGCTGTTTATTCCTGGACAGGAGCTGTCTACTTCTTACTGGGGGGCAGGCCGCCTCATGACCGGAGGGCTGAACTTTTAGTTTTCTACCCCAACCTCCATGGAGGGGAGAGGGGCTGCCAGCATTTCACTTGGCACAATATCCTCAGTGTTCATCCACGTTGTCCCATGTGTCAACATTTCCCTCTTTTTAAATATTGAACAATCTGTTGAATCCATAATCACATTTTCTTGAGTTGGCCAAAAAGTCCCCCTATTCTGGTCATTTCATATGAATGGAATCACACAGTACGTGTTTCTGGGGGTCTGGCTTCTTTCCCTTGGTGTGTTTTCAGCGTTCATCTGTGTTGTAGCGTGTATCAGTACTTCACCCCTTTTTACGGCTAAATAATATTCCTTTGTACGGATAGGCCATATCTTGTTTACCCCTTTGTCTGTTCACGAACACTTACCTGTTTCCGTTTTTTAATTGTAGCAGTATGCTACTGTGAAGGTTCACATATAAGTTTTTCTGTGGATGGATTTTCACTTGTCTTGGATGTATGCCTGGGAGTGGAATTGCAGGGTTATAAGGAAATTCTTCCCAGGTGGTGCTAGTGGTAGAGAACCTGCCTGCCAAAGCAGGAGATGTAAGAGACATGGGATCAAGACCAGGGTCAGGAAGATCCCCTGGAGGAGAGCATGGCAACCACTCTAGTATTCTTGACTGGAGAATTTCATGGGCAGAGGAGCCTGGTGGGCTGCGCTCCATAGGGTTGCAAAGAGTTGGACACTACTGAAGTGAGTTAGCACACAAGGAAATTCTGTCTTTAACTTTTTGAGGAACTGCCAACCTTTTTTACACAGCAACGTTCTCACCAGAAATATATGAGGGTTCCAATTTTTCCACACCCTCACCAACACTTGTTCTCTGTTTAAAAAATTGTAACTATCCTAGTAGGTGTGAAGTGGTATCTCATTGTGGTTCTGAGCTGCATTTCCCTGATGACTAATGAAACTGAGCTTCTTTTCATGGGTGTATTGGCTAGTTCTTATTTGGAAAAATGTTTATTAAGATCCTGTGTGTATTTTTAAATTGGGTTGTCTTTGTGATTGACTTACAAATTTTTAAAAATATGTTCTGGATAGTAGATCCCCACCAGATACATAATTTGCAAATTTCCTCCCATATTATGGGTTATCTTTTCACTTTTTTGTTCCTGTTCTTTGACTCAAATTTTTTAACTTTTATGAAGCCCAGTTTGCTTCTTTGGGCTTTTGGTTTCACATCTGAGAAGCCATTCCCTCATCCAAGGTCACAGAGATCTACAGTTATGCTTTCTTCTAGCCATTTTATAGTTACAGCTCTTAGGTTAGACCTGGGATCCACTTTGAGTTCCTTTTTGTGTCTGGTACCAGGCAGAGGTCCAAACCCTCTCTGCTGTGTGTGACTATTCAGTGATTCCAGAATTATTTATTGAAAAGACTGTTGCCTTTATTGAATGGTCTTGGAAAAATTTATTTTTGGCACAAACATATATATATATATAGCTTCAGCATCAGTCCTTCCAATGAATATTCAGGACTGATTTCCCTTAGGATGGACTGGTTGGATCTCCTTGCAGTCCAAGGGACTCTCAAGAGTTTTCTCCAACAGCACAGTTCAAAAGTATATGTAGGTGTGTTTCCTATTCTTTCCAATATTGTTGATGTACTTTTTTTGGGGGGGTGCTGCACCTTGGGGTTTGGGGGGATCTAAGTTCCCTGACCAGCTGTGGGAATGGAGTCCTATTCGCGGGAGCTCCCGAAGTCCCTTATTCTTAAGGTGCTTTTTAATAATAAAGCAGTCACCAATGCATCACACGTTGGCGGAGTCTCCAGTGCTGGCCTCAGGACTCAGCTGTGGAGGGCTCCCCAGGGTCTCCGTCCTCACGGGCCGCACAGGAAAAGGGACGAAGAACACCAGGGCGCCGTGGACACAGACCCTGCGTGGAGCCTGCAGGAGCGGGGGGGCGGTGAAGCGGCGGCGGGACGTCCGGCGAGAGGAGAGAGAGCCGGCGGGGCCGCTCGGGTAGGGGGCGCGGCGGCCGCGGGGTCATCGCCCTAGACGCGCGGGTGGGACGACAAGCCAGGCGGCAGGACCGCAGCGAGAGGCCGCCGGACGGCTCCGCTCCTCCAAGCAGGCTCCGCCCCATGTGATGTCACGCGCCCGGCGGGCCCTGGGCGACAGCCGCGCATGCGCGCCTGGAGGGCTCCGCCGCGCGCTTGGGCGCTGACCAGCCGGCAGCTCGCACGGCGTCGCGCAACCCGCAGGCCCCGGCTACCGATGCCCAGAGCCGCAGTGCGCGCTCGCCTTCGCCAAGAAGCACCAGCTCCAGGTGCACCTGCTCACGCACGGCAGTGGCCAGGGCCGGCGGCCCTTCAAGTGCCCGCTGGACGGCTGCGGCTGGGCCTTCACCACGTCCTACAAGCTCAAGCGGCACCTGCAGTCGCACGACAAGCTGCGGCCGTTCGGTTGCCCGGTGGGCGGCTGCGGCAAGAAGTTCACCACCGTGTACAACCTCAAGGCGCACATGAGGGCGCACGAGCAGGAGAGCCTGTTCAAGTGCGAGGTGTGTGCCGAGCGCTTCCCCACGCACGCCAAGCTCAGCTCGCACCAGCGCAGCCACTTCGAGCCCGAGAGGCCCTACAAGTGCGACTTTCCCGGTGAGCGGCGCGGGCGGGGCGCGGTGTCTCCTCTCCCCCCGCCCCGGGGGCGCGGCGGCTCCCGGACCCCGCTTGGCCGCGAAGTAGCTCGGGGAATCTCGGAGCCCTCCCCCGGGTGCGTCGGATGAGCGAGACCGCAAGGCGTCTTCCCACCGACGGAGCCGGAGGCAGGTCTGGTTACTGGGAAACGCTCAGTCCGGCTTGCGGGCGCGCGCCCCTAGCTGCAGGAACTTTGGGTCGCCCGCGCAGCCCGCGCTAGACATTAGGGCGCCCCAGGGGATCATCGCCCGCTGCGGCGCCTCCGCCTTTTATGCCGTTAAGACCTTTGTTTCGTTTGGACTTCATGGTTGTGTGAAGTTCTGAAACTCGTCTTCATCTTCAGATGGAGACTCCCGGCGAGGTGGGTCCAGTGGGTGAGTGCCCGTGGACTCTCCACCCGGATAGGCGGCTCCAGCTGCGGAGGGCGTGTGCCTGCGAAGGGGGGGCTGGGGGCCCGGGGCCGGGCTGCGGAGCCAAGGCAGGGAATGCGGGCAGGGGGGAGGCTTCTGGAGGGCCTTTCTTAAAAGAAGCTGGAGTGTGCGCCCGGCGATCGGTTGATAAGTTGTGGACCGGGAATGCGCTCCGCATAATGTCCAGGTTATGGAAGTGTGCAGGAATGAGGGATTTTGAAAGGGCGGAAGAAAAGTCAGATGTTAGGGGGTTCTCTCTGATCTTCCCGAGCACCTTGGCCGGTCCTGTGCACTCCGTCTCCGTGGAGAGCATGGCTGGAGGGCACTCTCTCTCTGTCCCGCACTCTAGTGAAAAGCTCAGAGGGTGTCCATCCGAACACAGTGCTAGCAGGATCTGGGATCCACCTGCTTTGGGCACGGGGTCACCCTGGGTTTTGAAGTGAATGATCTGTGAGGTGTCTGTCCCGGGTGGGTGGGCGGAAGGAGGAGAGGGACCAGTGGGATGTTCCAGACTGCAGGGGGCTGAGGGCTGACCCAGGTGGAGGCCATGGGTCGCTGGGGCGGCTCCAGCTGGGGAGGATTGAGGCGCTGGGTCCTGCGGCTTCTCTGTCGGTCGGGAGAGGGTGCGTCTTGCTGAGGCAGACGCTGACTTTGCTTGTTCAGATGTGTCTACCTGACCGAGGGGGCAACGACACTGAGCCTAAAGTGAGGATTGGCCGGGGCCCTGGGGAGAGACAGATGTGTACGGGAGGAGGGTTGGGGGGGCGTTTGGGGAGATGAGCGTTTCCCCACTGAGTGTCGCTGCAGAGAGGAGGGGCGCCGGGCTCTGCGCCCCGTGGAGGCCCCGGGAGGGCTTGGGAGGGGCCGCAGCATCTACTGCTCACGGGCATCTTGCAGCCTCGTGTGTCGTGCCTGGTGTGAGCACTGACCTTTTCTGTCGAAGGAGAGCTGGTTGTTTAGTAGCTAAGTTGCGTCCATCTCTGCTTCTCCATCGACAGCCTGCTTCTTCCGCCAGGCTCCTCTGTCCATGGGATTTCCCAGGCAGGAATACTGGAGTGGGTTGCCGTTTCCTTCTCCAGGGGATCTTCCTGATCCAGGGCTCAAACCCAGGTCTCCTGCATTGCAGGTGGATTCTTTACCAGGGAGCCACCAGGGAAGGAGCTGATGGCTTCTAGCTCTCCCCAGTGAAGAGCTTAGTCATGTTCGAAGTCCCATGGGTCAGCCCGGGTTGAAGATGCAGGTGGGAAAAGGCCATCTAAGCACAGATGAGCCCAGTGACTCGTGACAGAGCAGGAAACCCCAAGGAGACGGGCCAGAGCGAGGAGGAGCTGGCGGCAGGGGCTGGTCTGCCTCCGAGAGGACGTGCACAGGGATGGGGTGTGCCTGACTCCACAGGTGGGGGGAACCTCAGGTGTTACTGCAGGAGCTGGCAGCCGTTTCAGGCTTAGCCCGACCAGACAGAATCTGGTTCCTTAGTATCTGGTTCATCTTGTTGGGTTTACTGGTCGTTGAGTTCCCAGCGCACCTGGAGGGTCTGTCGCGCTGAACTGGCAGCTGATGGCTGTACCGGAGGACGATCGGGTGGCTCCGTGGAGTGGGTGGCCTGTGAACTGCCCCGAGCCGCCCCGAGGTCAGCCCCCAGGGAGGCCCCCGCCCGAGTCGTCCTCCTCGCCACCTGCCCCGGTACCAGCGGCGCCCGGGCGGTGACTGGGTCAGCTCTGTAATGTGCCTTCTGCCCCGCCAGTGAGCAGGCTCTGTGTCTTTCTGTTCAGGCTGTGAGAAGACATTTATCACCGTGAGTGCTCTGTTTTCCCACAACCGGGCCCACTTCCGGGAACAAGAACTCTTTTCCTGCTCCTTTCCTGGATGCAGCAAACAGTACGACAAAGCCTGTCGCCTGAAAATCCACCTGAGAAGCCATACAGGTAACGAGCCAGGGATGTCCGACCCCCGCCCACCATCCACACAGTTCCCGGTTGTAATCACGAGGCATGGTTTTTCTTTCCTAAGGTGAAAGACCTTTTATCTGTGACTCTGACAGTTGTGGCTGGACCTTCACCAGTATGTCTAAGCTCTTGAGGCATAAGAGGTAACCTTTACATTTGGGTTGAATTCTTCATTTTGAAAACGAGTGAGTTATTGGTTAGTAGCAGAAGCCTGTGGATGGGATAACCTGTGGATTTCTTTAAGTTATAAAAAACATGTGTGGGTAACTTGGAAAATTCAGAAAGTTTATAAGAAGAAAACCACACAGAACCCGATCACTTAGTTTTCTCTGTTTACTTGTTTTTAAATTTAGTTAGTATGCTTAACACGCAACTTGATCTTTAGAGAAGTCAAGGTTATAGACTAAGCCTTCCTCATGCCGTCATCACTTCTGTGGTTCTGGTGACCCCTCGAGGGACTGGGCCTTGTGCAGGTGAACCTTGGCGCTTGGCCTTTGTCCTGCATTTGGCCTCTCAGCAGCTGTGACTCTGAAGCACGTGTCCTCCTGTTTTGCCTGGGGACCCGGAGAGCTAGGAGGTGTTCTGTCCTTGCCCAGCCGGGGCTGAGGGCGTCTGCGCAGAGAGAGGCCGTGTGCGTGTCAGGCGCGGTCCCCTGCTGCAGGGACAGCCTGTGTGGTGGCCGGCGGCTGAACGGGGGAGGTGGCTGCTGCTCCCTGCGTGGAAGCTCCAAGTCTGACTGTGGTCGGCTCCATCAGGAAGGAGGGCTTCTGCCCGTGAGGGCTGGAGACCAAATCCAGGCTTTTCTGAGATGTGTTGTTTCCCCTGTGATGGAGAGCTCGTGGGTGGGTGCGTCTTGCAGAGCGGTGGTGGCGTGCCTGGTCACCTCGCTGCCTTCTGTCCCGCAGGAAGCATGACGACGACCGCCGGTTCCCCTGCCCTGTCGAGGGCTGTGGCAAGTCGTTCACCCGGGCCGAGCACCTGAAGGGCCACAGCGTCACCCACCTGGGCACCAAGCCCTTCGCCTGTCCCGTGGAAGGTGGGTGTGAGCGGCCCCACGGCCGCCTGGCGCCGCGGGTGGGCACCTCTGAGGTGCCACGTGGGCCAGGGGTGGGGTGGCTCGGCAGGTCTTAGCCGGGGGTGTGCGTCTTGGGAGCAGAGTGCTAGCAAAGCAGGTCCAGAGTCCGACTGCTGGACCCGCGGCTCGGGGCTGTGGCTCTGCCGAGTCCCCGCTGGTTTGATGGTTTTAAGGATTTGGCGTAATACTGTGGGGAAAGCTCCATTCAAAGGAGACACTACAGACTCACTTGAGGCTGAGCGTTTCCTGGAATGTGGCGAAGGTACCCCGGTGGTCTAACCAGACACAAACCTGTGTCTCCGCAGGGCTCCAGTTGGGGGGGGCGGGCCACAGGTGCACAGCTAACGTGTGGGGTGCTGGGGGCGTGGGCTGGGAGCATGGCTCCCAGGAGCCGGGGAGGGGTTGGAGACAGAAGTGTGGCTGGCGGGCTGAAGACGGCCTGGGCCTGGCGGGGCTTCTCCTGGCGCAAGTGTGTGCGGCACCGTGGCCCCCTGGGACGGTGGGCGGGAGTTGGGATCTGCAGGGAAGTTTGTCGCGGAAGGTTGTCGCTGCCTTTCCCTTGGGGGGGTGACCGGGTAGAAGCCTGAGCACTGTGTGGGAACGTCTTTCTGAAGAGATGACGTAAGGCACTTAGGAGGAGGTGGTCGTTGACACACGTGGACGTGCGTGCGTGCTGCTGGGCGTCAAGGAAATCCGGGCTAAAGCAAGATCCTTTGGGCTGGCCCAAAGTTTCCTTTAGCTTCTAAGTAAAAATAAAAGACACTTTTCTCACATTCACGAAGAACTCTGTTGAACTTCTTACTCACTATTTTGTTCAACTACCTTCTGCCATTTTTCAGCTGGCATCATAATTCCATCTTTCCCAAACTCCCCCCACCCCGCGTAGCATTATTTATTTCAAGGTCTTGTAGCCCAGTAAGAACACGGTTGCTGGCATTGACAGCGTTCGGGGAAGCCCTTCTGTTCCCCTCCAGCCGTATTCTCTGGTTCATTTGCAGCAAGGAGTCCGAACAAGTGCAGCTAGGACAGTTCTTTCTGTTTTGTTTAGAAACTGGAGGAACCCGCTTTTCCGCATTCTATAGTAGCCTCATAGAAAACCAGTCAAATAGAAGGCATTCTCCTCGAGTCTTCGTTCAGGTTCTGAATGCACTCACATCTTCCACTGGCTCCAAGGAGCAGTGGGTCATCGGAAAATCGCTTGTGTCAGCAACTCTTGTGAATCAGAATGACACTCTGGCGGGGCGGTCCTGTCAGCGGGCCAGCGTTACCTTGTGCCCCGTCTTCTTTTTCTTTAACTTCTCATTTTATTTTGGAGTCCCCTCATTAGTCCTTGGCCGTGTTGTGAGAGTTTCAGGTAGACGACGAAGGGACCGGCCGAGCTCACACACACCCCTTCCCCCCAGCACGCCCCCAGCACCCCCAGGCGGCCCCGTGACCCTGAGTGGGGCCCCGTGTGCGGGGCAGTGGGGCCTTGTTGCTCACGTGTGTGAAACGCGCAGCGTGTGCACGGGGCGCTCCGCCCCCTCCCGCCGTCCTCCCCGGCACCCATGAGCGCGTCCTCCCAGCCTGTGAGTGTTTCTGTTCTGTGAGTGGGTGAGTTTGTACCATTTCTTTTTCAGACCCCATATATGAGGGGTGTCGCGTGATATTTCTCCTTCTCTCCCTTCACTCGGCAGGAGAGTCTCTAGGTCCTCCACGCTGCTGCAAATGGCATCTCTTCATCATGTTCAGTGGGTGCGTAGTATTCCGCATGTCCCACATCTCCCTTACCTATTCCCGTCGATGGACAGCTGACCTCCACATCCCGGCCCTTGCAGGCAGTGCTGCAGTGAACACCGCGGTGCGTGTGTCCTCTTGGATCGTGTTTTTCCGGATGTGTGCTCCTGAGTGGGGTTGGCCAGCCGTATGGTGGCTCTCTTTTCAGTTCCTGAACGACCCCACACTGTTGCGTAGCAGCTGAGCCAGCTGACATTCCCGCCGGCAGTGTGGGAGGCTCTGCCCCTCCGCGTCCGCCTGCGTTTACTGTGTGTGGGTTTGGTGCGCCTGGCTGGGGCCTTGGTTGCCCTGCGGGCTCTTCTCTAGTTGCTGCGGGCAGGGGCTGCTCCTCCGCTGCGGGGGGCGGTGGCTTCTCTCACTGTGGCTCACAGCCTTCAGTGGTGGCGGCCCCCAGGCACTGGGGCACGGGCTCAGGAGTCCCGGCACCGCAGCCTTCAGTGGTGGCGGCCCCCAGGCACTGGGGCACGGGCTCAGGAGTCCCGGCACCGCAGCCTTCAGTGGTGGCGGCCCCCAGGCACTGGGGCACGGGCTCAGGAGTCCCGGCACCGCAGCCTTCAGTGGTGGCGGCCCCCAGGCACTGGGGCACGGGCTCAGGAGTCCCGGCACCGCAGCCTTCAGTGGTGGCGGCCCCCAGGCACTGGGGCACGGGCTCAGGAGTCCCGGCACCGCAGCCTTCAGTGGTGGCGGCCCCCAGGCACTGGGGCACGGGCTCAGGAGTCCTGGCACGTACTTGACCTTAGTTGCTCTTAAGACGGTGGGATCTTCCCAGGCCAGCGATTGAAGTTGCCTCTCCTGCACTGACAGGTGGCTTCTTCACCACTGAGCCATCAGGAAACTCTTGTTTGTGGATTTTTTGATGATGGCCCTTCTGAGTGGTGTGAAGTGGTACCTCACTGTAGTTTTGATTTGCATTTCTCTGATAATTAGCAATATTGAGCATCTTTTTATGTGCCTCTTGGCCATCTATATGTCGTCCTTGGAGAAATGTCCATTTAGGTCTTCTGCCCATTTTCTGGTTGGGTTCTTTGTCTTGATGATGCTAAACCTCAAGAGCTGTTTATAAATTTTGGAGACTGAGCCCGTGTCAGTTACATCGTTTGCAAATACTTTCTTCCTTTCTGTGGATTGTCTTTTTGTTTCATGGTTTCCTCTGCTATGCAGGAGCTTTTGAGTTTAATTAGGTCCTTTTTTTAAAAAAATTTTTTTAAATTTCCATTATTCTGAGAGATGGATTGAAAAAGATACTGCTGCAATTCATTTCAGAGGATGTTCTGTTTTCCTCTAGGAGTTGTATAATGTCTGGTCTTTAATCCATTTAGGTCTTTAATCCATTGGGAGCTTATCTTTGTCTATGGTGTTAAAGAATGATCTAATTTCTTTTTTTCTTTTAGTGTGTAGCTGTCCAGTTTTCCCAGCACCATTTGTTGAAGAGACTTTCTTTGCAACATTGTGTAGTCTTGTCTCCTTTGACTGTTTAGTGTGTGGGTTTATTTCTGGGCTTTCTGTTCTGTTCATATGATTTCTATTTTTGCACCTGTACCATACTGTTTTGATGCCTGTAGCTTTGTAGTGTAATCCAAACGAAGTCAAGGAGCTTGAGTCCTCCGGCTCTGTTTTTCTTTCTCAAGATTGTTTTGATGATTCAGGGTCTTTTGTGTCTCCATACAAGTTAAAAAATTTTTTTGGTTATAGTTCTGTGAAAAGTGTTGTTGGTGATTTGATAGGGATTGCACTGAATCTGTAGATTGCCTTCGGTAGTATTTTGTCATTTTGACAGTATTGATTTTTCTGCTCCATGGACGTGGTATATCTGTTTGTATCTTTGCTTTCACCAGCGTCTTACGGTTTTTGGAATGCGTGTCTTTCGTCTCCTTAGGGAGGTTTATTCCTGCATAGTTTATTTTTTCTAATATGATGATGAATGGAATTGTTTCTTGAATTTCCCTTTCTGATCTCTTGATGTTAGTCTATAGAAATGCAACAAGTTGCTGTGCATTAATTTTTCAACCTGCAACTTCACCAGATTCCCTGGTGAACTCTAGCAGCTTTCTGGTGGCATCTTTAGGATCTTCTGTGTATAGTATCATGTATAGTATCTGTCATCTGAAAACAGTGACAGTTTACATTCTTCTTTTCCAGTTTTCAATTCCCTTTGGTTCTTTTTCTTCTCATGGCCTTAGCTAGGACTTGCAAAACTGTACTGAATAAAAGTGGCAAGGGTGAACATCCTTGTCTAGTTCCTGATCTTAGAGGAAATGCTCTCAGCTTTTCCCTGTTGAGTGTGATACTAGTTTGTTGTGTGAAGTGAAGGTTTGTTGTATGATCTTTATTATGTTGAGGTATGTTCCTTCTGTGCCCACCTTCTGAAGTGTTTATCTTAAATGGATGTTGAATTTGTCAGAAGCTCTCTCTGAATCATTGAGATAATCATATGGTTTTTATTCTTCCACTTGTTGGTGTGATGTGTCACACTGATTGATGTGTGGATCCTGAAAACCTTGGCATCACTGGGAAAAATCCCACTAGATTGTAGTGTGTGACCCTTTTAGTGTGTTGTTGGATTTGGATTGCTCATTTTTTACCTTTTTGAGCAAAGAGCTCTTCCAGATGCCTTCTACAGTCTTCCAGGGAATTGAAATTTCTTCTGTGGAGAGAGTGTGCAGATCAAGTTAATGGACCTCTGAAGGTGTGGTGTCTGTCACCTTCAGGTGACAGAGCAGGGAGGGTGACTCAGAACTCCCCGGCGGGCGGTGACCGTCTGTCTGGCCGTCAGAGATGCCCACGGTCTTGGTTGCCCTGAGGGGGAGCCTGTGTCCCGCTGCCTGACTCCCGCTGCCTGACTCCGCACACGTTCCCTGAGAGCGCTGCTCTTGCTCTTGTTGGCCCTGGTGCGGCCGTCGGCGTCTTGGGGTGCCACCCGGGGCAGGGGCCCTGGTGCCTGACGCTGCTGTCCTCTCTCCCCAGGGTGCTGTGCCAGGTTCTCGGCGCGGAGCAGCCTCTACATCCACTCCAAGAAGCACCTGCAAGACGTGGCTGCCCCGAAGAGCAGGTGTCCAGTGTCCAGCTGCGACCGGCTCTTCGCCTCCAAGCACAGCATGAAGGCCCACGTGCTCAGGCAGCACCGCCGGCACCCAGGTGGGCCCCCGGCGGCCCAAGGGCGCGTGCTGGGTGCAGCCGCTCGCGTCCTGGATGCCTGGCCCGGGGCCTGTGGCTGCCATGCCTGCGGCCCCGCGTCTGCCCGTGTTGCCCTGACCCTCTCGCCCGCCCGGCCTTAGGGCTTCCCCTGCCTGGCCTGGGCAGTCAGGGCTCCTGAAGCTTGCCTTGACCTCATCCTGTGTGCCGAGCTGCCCCTCCACCGCCCCTGTCCCCTCCATCTTCTCTTGTCCAGCCCTGCCCGGAACAGTCATGGAGACAGAACAGACTGTTTCTGGACGAGCACAGGGGCAGAGCGCAAACTTCGATGAGTCCCGCAGTGACTCTGCACACGGCGCTGGCTGTCCTGACCCCCGGGCGCTGGGCCCTTGGCAGCCTGGCTTTCCAACCGTGAGCCCAGGCCCCCGGGTGTGGCGTGCAGGGGCTGGGTGGTCGGGCAGCAGCCTCTCCCCGGAGCCTGGCAGCCGTACTGCTCCTGCAGTGCCTCGAGGGTGAGGTCCTGGCTGCAGTCACCTGAGCGGCTGCTGCTGGACTCTGCTCAGGGCTGCCTGCCCACCTCGGGCACAGCTGCCGCCCGCTCTGTGCTCCTGGGAGGGGAGCTGGAATGGAGGGAAGGGGACTGGGAGTGTCCACGTCCATGACATGACGCAGTCTTGTGTCGGGTGTGGACGTCCCGGGTCTGTGACCTGACGCTGTCTCGTGTCAGGTAGGTGAGGAAGTCTGTTGTGGGTGGGCAGGGACTCACGGCTCGATGTGACTGTAGGTGCTGGGGAGTGTGTGTCTGTCGTGGAGGAACCCTGCCTGGCCCTGGAGGGGTTGGGTCGTCTCACGCTGGTCCTGGGTGGAGTCACACTGGGTGGAGGTGGGGCAAGGAAGTGCTGGCGTGGAGGGAGCTGGTTGCCTTCATGCGGTCGGTGTTAATGTTTGTGTACAGGTTGTGAACATTTGGCTTTCGCACGTGGCAGGTCTCCAGTAAACTTGTGGAATTAGCAAAAGGCTAAGGAAATTTATGAGCAAGTTGGTGTTTCTTGATGTTTGCCTAGATTCAGTTCAGTTCAGTTCAGTCTCTCACTTGTGTCCAACTCTTTGCAACCCCATGAACCGCAGCACGCCAGGCCTGCCAGTCCATCACTAACTCCCAGAGCCCACCCAAACTCACGTCCATTGAGTCAGTAATGCCATCCAGCCATCTCATCCTCTGTCGTCCCCTTCTTCTCCTGCCTTCAATCTTTCCCAGCATCAGGGTCTTTTCCAATGAGTCAGCTCTTCGCATCAGGTGGCCAAAGTATTGGAGTTTCAGCTTCAATATCAGTCCTTCCAATGAATATTCAGAACCGATCTCTTTTAGGATGGACTGGTTGGATCTCCTTGCAGTCCAAGAGACTCTCACGAGTCTTCTCTAACACCACAGTTCAAAAGTATCAGTTCTTTGGCGCTCAGCTTTCTTAATAGTCCAGCTTTATACATCCATACGTGACTACTGGAAAAACCATATTATCATTCTTGATCTTTTCATAGGGAGCTGGATTAGCGAGGTTGTCTAGGAAACTGGAAAGTTTTGGGAAAGAGACGTGTTTCCGTTTTTACCATCTTCAGAGAGCCCCTTGCCATCTCTCCAGAGTGTTCCCTGGTGGTGAATGGTGGTTGAGGCCCCGCTGGGCGGGCCCAGCGTCTAAGCTCCATGGCGGCACAGCCGCGGGCCGAGGCTCTCCGCGTGGCCGGCTGTCCTTCGTTTGCTCGGGGGCGGCGTCCGTGGCAGCTTTCCCCCCTGGGTCCCCAGTGGAACCTCGTAGCTGCTCTGCTGCGGTGTCCACGGGGCAGTGTGAGCTTGGGGTTCGCTCCAGGTTGGGGGGTGCTGGCCGCTGCAGGAGAGGCCTGTTGCAGACCCGCTGGCTCCTCCGCCAGATTCTCGTGCTCCCGTCTTCCTGGTGGCTTGATGCCTGGCGAGCACTTGCCAGGATTTGGGATGATGGGTGTTCTTGCATCTGAACTCCAGCATGAACGTTCAGTGACATCCTTTAATGTCACCATTGTCCCTTCCCCTGGGGGTGACCTCACGGCTGGTGTTCCTTCACTGAGGAGCAGTTACTCGAGTGCTGGGCGTGGGTGCCGCTGTGGTCAGGGGAGGCCACTTCGGGCCGGGCCTGTGCCTGCTGTGGGGCGGGGTCGTCTGGAAACAGCGGGCTCTCCAAGCCCATTGGGAGCCACTCTGTCCAGGGGGCCGTGGCCTGGGCTCAGCGTGCAGGGCCTGCTGTGCATCTTTGCAGCCCGGCCGGCCAGCTCGCCCTACAGTCCTCCCCGTCCTCCCCCCTCGAGCTTGGGAGAGGCAGAGAGCAGGCTGAGAGGTGGCCTGACACAGTTGACCCCAGAAGGGTCCCCGAGCCGCAGGGTCAGCGTGGCCTGAGGTTGGTGGTTCGTGGTCCGTGAGGGGCTCTGTCTCCCTGGGCACCGCGGGATGGCGCGAGTGAAGGGTGTGGAGCCTGAAGGACTCGGGGTGAAACCTTCTCTCTCTGTTACTTGGGGAGTGTCAGTGGCCGGGGGGAGGACCTGGGGGCTCAAGGCTCTGAGCCCCCCATGCAGGGCACCTGCGCGTCCCCCGCGGCTCCTTCCTGCACAGCATGGTGCCTTCGGGGGCCGGCAGGGGCTGTGGGGGGTGTCCATGTTCCCTCGGTGTGTCTCGTCCACGTCTTAAGCAAAGACCGCCCTCCCCTCTCTGGTCACCATGGTCACCAGTGTTCCTTCCTTTTCAGATCTTTTCCCTCCGCTGGAGGCTTCGAGCACGCTGACACCCAGCAGTGACCCCGGCAGCCCCGGGCAGGGCGAGTTCAGCCACGTGGACCTGGCGGTCCTCTTCTCCGACCCGCCGGCCGACGGCAGTGCTGCCCCCGGGGCCCCTGACGAGGCGCTGGGTGCTGGGATCCTGACCATCGATGTGACTTCTGTGGGCGCCTCTCTTGGAGGGGACCTCCCTGCTGGTCAGGCTTCCTTTGGGCCGATGGACCCGCTAGTCTTGGTGGCCCACGGTGACATCCCACCTGGCCCGGACAGCCCCCTCGTCCTCGGGACAGCAGCTGTGGGTTTCCAGCAGGGCGGCCTCGCCACGGACGACATGCCAGCCATGGGCGCAGGGGCCCTGGGCTGTCTGGTGGCCGTGCCCGTGAAGAACTTGGGTCAGGACCCCCAGGCTCTGACCCCAAGCGACCCGCGGGGAGCCAACAGTGTTCCGGAGCCGCTGGTGCCCATCAAGGTGGAGCCAGGCTCGCCCCCCCACGCCCAGCCTGGCTGGCAGCAGGAGCCGGGCGAAGGGGCATCGCGGCCTGTGGAGTCCAGCCCCTTGGAGCAGAGCGGTCCTTGGAGAGATGCTAGGCTTGCGGCGGGGACCGGTGGCTTCTACCTGGTACGAGGTGCCCTGGGGTCACCGGCTTCTAGCTCGGCTCCTGCCCCATCGTGTGGTGTCCTGGATTAACCCTCTACTGCAGACGCTTCCTAGGGGCTTGCGAGAGCATGGCGCCCCGGCTACAAGTCTGGAAACCCGAATTCCTGTCTCGAATCTGGAACGGACTAGTGTTTATGACCTTGAGCAAATCACTTAACTTGTCCGAGCCTTCAGTTCTCAGTTATTTCTGAAACGAGGGGCTTTGACACGATTTCTAAGGTCTTTTCGAGTCCTATGATTTTGGTGATAACATGTCTTTTCCTGAGAAAAGCTGGGATGTTCATAATGTTGAAATGTCCTGGTGTTTGAGTGTATCATGTAATAGCAGGTCCTCAGACGGACTCCTGACAGAGAGGAATTGCGACATCAACTGTGTGTAAAGATTGATGGACGTGAAAACCAGGAAAAATTACCAGTTAGAACTGACGAGAAAAAGAGAGTGGTCTGGGAGCTCTGTCTCTGGAGGGTCATGACGGCCTCTCCACTTGTGAGGCCTGACGCTCACGTGTTACAGCTGCATTCGTGTCGGTCATGCGTTCACTGTGACTTAGAGTAAGTTAATCGGAGTCTTGGGACAGGCTTTTCCTCAGCCTCAGGTGGGAGCAGTCAAGTAGCTTTCTCTCTGTGGCGCAGGTTAAATTCGATAGTGATGTTTATGTTCAAAAAGTTAAATCTCACTTTGCCACGATTTAACGAAGAGCTAATCCATGGAGTCAGCGTCCACCATGAGGGACGCAGTGGTGGCCGATGCCCAGGGTCAGTGGCGCGTGAGGCTGATCCCCACCCTGTCCGTTTTCTCGCTAGCTGTGTGCCTGGGGCTGGCCTGGTGTCTGGGAGCCCGGAAGGCATGCGGAGAGGGGGCCGCAGGTAGGCCCGTGCCCCCCAGGGATGAGGGTCGGCCGTGTCCTCATGGGGCTCCCAGCCACGGCCCCTGGGGCAGCCCCGGGAGGTGGAGGCCTGCCCCGAGGCCACGGGGCGGGGTTCAGGTCGTCAACAGGACTTGGGCTCTGTGTTTCAGGCAGCACAGGGGTCTTCAGCTCACAGGCTGGTTTCTGTGTGAGGTGTTTCGCATGTTTTAGACTCCGGAGGAATAAGCGTTGCCTCTGTGGATCAGAGTCCCGTCTGACTCGGCGCCCATCACCCTACGTGGCTTTCGATCCTCTGACCGTGAAACACACCCTGTGCTCAGTTGCCCCCTGCTGTTCGGGTCCCAGCTGATGATGATTTTTTTTTTTTTGGATTCAGGAAGGTGGAGGCTCAGCGAGAACTGATTCCCAGTCCGTTCAGCGAGCCCAGGAGAAGAAGCAGAGAGGCCCCAGGAGCCGCGCTGGTGAGGCTGCGTGCGCTGGGCGGGGCGAGCGGGAACCCGGGCCAGGGGGCTTCTGGTTTTAAAGCGTTAGCCGCTTCGTGGGGTCTTTAAAACACACTGAGTGGACTGCATGGTCCGTGCTGGTTTGCGAGCTCATCTGTCTTTCCGGGGCGACCGCGCTTGCTGCGTTACGACTGACGCTGGCTTCCTCCAAAAGCACCACATGAGGTATTTGACCACAGTTTGTTTCAAAAGTGTAAGAGGTGTGTGGGGTCAGCGGCGCTCTGTCATCCGTAGGTCTCTGCTCTGTATGATGATGGCACGCTCTTCTCTGCTGGCTGTCTTCACGTAAACCCTGCCCCGTGGCGCCTGCGTGCGGTCCGTGTTCACTGTCACGGGGGAGAAGGCCCCCGGGCCCGGGCCCTGGGTGGCAGGGGCACAGACAGGCGGCGGGGGCACAGACGGGTGGCGGGGGCACAGACGGGTGGGGCCTGTAGAGACAGAGCTGCCAGGGCGGCGTCTGTAGGGCGGTTTTCTTTTTTTGTTGTGGTTTTTGTTAATACTTCAGCATTAACTTTTTAGAAGCCAGACACTTAGAAACATACCAGACAGAGTCATCACTTGGTTAGAGGTTACCAGCTGGCCCTGCTTTCAGGTTGGCATCTCGCTTGTGTCCTGTTTTCAGTTGTAAACGCTGTGAACGTTTGCACATCTGTGTGTTCATAGCGCCCGGGGAGGCTTTGTGCTTCAGGTCTTTGACATTTGTGCACCCCTTCCTCGCCCTGGTCTTTCCCCTGTGTGTGTGTGCGTGCATGCGCGCACACTTGGAGAGTTGGGGCGGTGTGTCTGCTGGTCAGCGGGACTGTCAGCGTGCAGGTCCCTGTATCTCATGTTTCCAGTCACCCAGCTGGAGGCTGTGCCCTGGCGAGTCAGGCCGGAGGGCTCCATCCGGCCCCTGAGGCCCAGGCTCTGGGCCTGCTGCTTCCCCAGGGCTTCAGAAGACGCTGACGTCCCTCCTCACTCACTTTTAGCTAGCAGATTTCTGCTCACACAGGAGGGTCAGCAGAACGTCCCCACATCTACCCATGTTCAGGATAAGGAGCCTGCTGGCTTGTCTGTGTCCTCTGGGGGTGGTTGGCTATGTTTACCTGCTCGGTGATTGAAACACTGTATTGGCTTTCAAGGGAAGTAGAAGTCTGGAGCCTGCCAAGCATCCAGGCTTCTCATGTGAGACGGGGGGCGCTTTTCCTTGAGTGTGAATGCTCCCACCCCCACCCGCAGCTTGAGGCCCGAGACAGCCAGCAGGAGGGGGAGTGTAAGTACAGGCCCACCGTCCCTTTTCGAGAACCCTCAGGCCAGCCATGTGTTTCCCCAGAGCCTTGATTTTTGCAGACGCATAGAAACACGCTTCCCTATGCTTTGTCCCTGGTCATGGTGCCCGACACGTCACCTCGCCTCCCCTCCCCAGTGTGGACCTGTCCCAAGACCATGCATTTCTGCACGGCTGGGGAAGGGCCAGGCCATGGTCCACTGATGGCGCGGGGGTTCTGTGCATGGGAGAGGGGCCCCCGGGTGAGAGAGGAGAAGGGGGTCCCCCTACTGAGAGAGGGGAAGGGGGCCTGGCTGAGAGAGGAGAAGGGGGCCCCCGGTGAGAGAGAAGAGGGGGTCCCCAGGTGAGAGAGAGGGGAAGGGGACCCCGGGTGAGAGAGAGGAGGGGGTCCCCAGGTGAGAGAGAGGGGAAGGGGGCCCCGGGTGAGAGAGAGGAGGGGGTCCCCAGGTGAGAGAGGGGAAGGGGGCCCCCAGGTGAGAGAGGAGGGGGTCCCCGGGTGAGAGAGAGGAGGGGTCCCCGGGTGAGAGAGAAGGGGGCCCTGGGTGAGAGAGAGAAGGGGTCCCCGGGTGAGAGAGAAGGGGGCCCCCAGGTGAGAGAGGAGGGGGTCCCCGGATGAGAGAGGGGAAGGGGGCCCCCGGGTGAGAGAGAAGGGGGCCCTGGGTGAGAGAGAGAAGGGGTCCCCGGGTGAGAGAGAAGGGGGCCCCCAGGTGAGAGAGGAGGGGGTCCCCGGATGAGAGAGGGGAAGGGGGCCCCCGGGTGAGAGAAGGGGGCCCTGGGTGAGAGAGAGAAGGGGTCCCCGGGTGAGATAGAAGGGGGCCCCCAGGTGAGAGAGGAGGGGGTCCCCGGGTGAGAGAGGGGGAGGGGACCCAGCTGAGTGCCCTCCGCACCAGTGGCAGCAACCCCTTTGACGGCGACTGGCATCTGTGGGGCACAGGCCTGCGCCTGTGCACTGAAGGTGCCAGGAGGAGGGTCTGTGCGACTTCGTTCAGTTAAGCGTGTGCTGACCAACTGGGCAGAGCTGGCCGGGCTTGACCTCGTGAACACAGTGACGAGCTCGGCGCTGAAACTGGGCTCCTTGTCGAGCCCCGTGGACCCATCTGTCACTAGGGTGAAGCAGACACTCAGTCACAATGTCTAGAAGAACCAGAGTTTGTTTCTGATCCACTCGCGTGATTTTTCCTTAATTCCCCCATTTAAATGCAGCATGCGCACCCACAGTCGTGCATGAAGACAGAGCTTGGATCCCAGCTGGGGTCTCAGAGGTAACACGGCTCGCGCTGTGCTGTCAGTGCCAAGGAGAGAGGGGGTTCAGACTCACCTCATCTTTAAGATGTGACTTGGTGACGAGTAGGAGACACACATCATGTAAACCTTGCCTGCTTTAAAAAACGTTTGCCACACTAGGTCTTGGCTGTGCACACGGGCTTGGTTGGGTCACACGGGGTCTTAGCTGTGCTCACGGGTTTAGCTGGGTCACACTAGGTCTTGGCTGTGCACACGGGCTGAGCTGGGTCACACGGGGTCTTAGCTGTGCTCACGGGCTGAGCTGGGTCACACGGGGTCTTAGCTGTGCTCACGGGCTTAGCTGGGTCACACGGGGTCTTGGCTGTGGTGCTCACGGGCTGAGCTGGGTCACACGGGGTCTTCGCTGTGGTGCACATGGGCTTAGCTGTGCACACGGGGTCTTAGCTGTGCACACGGGCTGAGCTGGGTCACATGGGGTCTTAGCTGTGCCCACAGGCTTAGCTGGGTCACACGGGGTCTTAGCTGTGGTGCTCACGGGTTTCACTGCTCCACAGTGTATGGGATCTTAGTCCCCCAATCAGGGATTGAACCCCCACCCCCTGTATTGGAAGGCAGATTCTTAACAACCAGAGACATCCCCACATCTTGTCTGCTTTTAAAAGTAACTTCAAAAGATGCATTATTTGGGGCTTGCCTTCATTTATTCTATAGTGGTTTCATGACAGGGGCTTCCCTGATATGCCTTGAAATGAGTTGGCGTGCAGGTGTGTCCATCTGGATGTAAAATGAGGTCAGACCCTCCATCAGTTTATTCCTGACTGTACCATGTGGGCATCGTCCAAAGCACATGAGCTGACTGCAGCTCAGCTGCAGCGTTGGGATGGAGGTATGTTTAAAGCACGTGAGCATTTTGTTAAAGAATTGTTTTGACAGCAGTCTCCAAGCTCACCCAGACCTGAGCTGCCTGGGAGCATCCTGGCAGTGCCCTCCGTGCTGTGTCAGTGGGGTTTCCCCTTCGATGTTTGTAGTTACAGTTTGGTCTGTCTTGTTCTCAACGGGTTTGTACTGCTAACTACAGTGTTAACTCGGCTTTTCAGATGCAAAACATTCACTCGCAGAAAGTGCATTAAAATACACTTGAAAGATAAGTGGAACTGCCATTTACGGACATGTTTTCATCAGGGAAGTGTGCCAGGGTGATGGAAGACTTGAAAGCATGACAGGGACTCCTGTAAAATTCCAGCGGAGGCCGGAATGTGGACCCAGAGGCCATGCGGGGGCCGGGGGCGGGGCGCCTGCAGTGAGACCCCACAGGCATGGCTGTGCCCATGGGTGGCTTGTCTTCCGTGCTAGGCCATTTGGCATCCCCGTACCCGAGTTCGCCAGCCTGCCCCACTATCCAGGGTCAGGGCCATGTTCCTGCGTCAGAGAAACCTTTCTGGGGTTGGGTGTTTGTCTTCTTTGTGGTCAGTGTTTTTTTAAGTGTATTGTTATGAAAAAAGACAGTGATGGTTTTTGTGAAGGAAGTGGGACAGAAGGAGCTGCTGAGCAGGTGTCGGGGTAGGGGAGGGGGAGGCAGCTTCCGTCCGTCCTCCCAGGAGCGCTGTGCTCCATGTGTCAGGGACCCTGCGTGCCCCTGGTTGGTGGGCGTGCAGGGTGAGGCGGGGTCCACCCCAGAGGGCGGGGGCCTGCGCGCCGCCTTTTTGGAGGACGCAGGAGGTCGTGCTCTATTTCAGGAGCCACCAGGGACTCTGCACCAAGCCCGGGGGAAGGCGATGTCTGTGCCAGCCCGGGAGCCTGGCTGTGGGGCAGCCTCACTGTGCCCGGCGCCCTGCCCTGCGTCCAGGTGCAGCTGCTGCAGGTGAGGGCACGCGTCACCCAGACATCCCCCCGCCCCACCCCGCCCCAGTCTGTCACGCCGCGGTGTCCATGCTCTCCCTGGTCAGGATCTGGGCTCCCCATCTGGCGGGACGCAGTTGCCTTCAGCCTTGCCTTCCAGGGCTGGCAGGGGATGGGGAGGGGAGAGGCGTCCACACTGAGGATGCACGGCTCTGACCCCTGGCGCATATTCACTGAGCTCCTTTGTGTTGGCGGCTGTGGGCCTTGGGGCTGAGCGGGGCCACGGGAGCAGGGAGGGCAGGCGGCCGACCCCTAGCCCCTGACCCGTGGGCCTCGGGAGGACGGGCTGGGCCGGCACGGCCACGTCCAGGGGGCAGCCTCCTGGGACCAGGGTCCCTGCCTGACATGGCGCTCTTGCTTCCGCAGGACGAACCGTCAGGGGATGGGGTCTTGCCCCAGGCGCTCAGCCCACAGCCTCCCGCCTTTCAGCCCCTGCTTGCCGTCGACCTGCCCGTCTACGTCCTCCAGGTTCGGCGCCCCGTTCTCTGGGCTGGTTGCGCCCCACAAAACTCGTCCCTGAGGTGGACTCGCCCTGGGCCTCTGGCCACGTGGCCACAGTGTTTTCTGGAGGGGCGGTGAGGGTGTGAGCAGTACAGGCTGAGCCTGCAGCTCAGGTTCACACGTCTTGGTGGGCAAGGTGGGATTTCACGTATTCAAGTTCATGTGTTCAGGCCTGTGAGAGTTGGGCTGGCTGGGTTTCAGCCTTTGCGGATAGGCCCAAGCAGGTTAAACGGTTTGCTAGGGTCAGTGGTTAAGCTGCGTGTGGACAGCAGTGGATAATTCAGATTTGGATAGATAAGGGTGATCTCTGTGCTTTATCAGATTTGAAACACATATGTAAAAATCAGTAACTTTGGTTTTCTTATATTCAACTTGGGCTGTGGCATTAGAAGTGGACATTGGATGGAGCTTGGAGGCCCCTGGTCGCAGCGTACGGAAGGCCTCACAGCATCCCTCCGCCCTCGGGGCGGCCCTTATCCTGGGCTCCTTCCTGGGGCAGCAGGGGGTGGGTGCTGATCAGTGTCCCTGGAGGTCTGGAGCCCAGTGCTCGGGCTGCTTCCTAGAGACAGCGGCTGGAGCCCATCCACACGGGGCTGGCTGGGGCAGGGGGTCCCCCCTCTGAGGAGACCGGGGCCCATCCACGCGGGGCCTGCCAGGGCGCGGGGAATCCCCCCTCTGAGGAGGCCGGGGCGGGGACTGAGCTCACCTCTCTGCAGTTTTGTCGGTGATGGAATCTTTTCCTTGAAGTGACACACACCTGAACTGGGGGAGGGCGAATGGGTTCAGCCTGGGCGGCCGAGCTCACTGCTGTGCTTGCTTTGCAGGAAGTGCTGCCTGCGGGCGGAGGTGCCGCGGGGCCCAAGGAGGCGCCATGCTCGGAAGGCGCGGCTGCGCTGCAGGCCCGGCCGTGACCCACCTCGCCGGGCCGGGGGTGCTGCTGGGCGGCCAGGCCCGTTCTTCAGAGGCTCCGGGGCGCGGTGTTGAGGGTTTCTGTTCTGCTCTGTCAGGGGCGGTTGGGCTGGGCCTCCCGCCTGGGCTGCGAGAGCGGGTGCTGGTCTCCCTGCTTGGACACGGGGGCCCCTGAGGACGGCAGGGCCCCCAGCCGACAGGCCGAGGACGCAGGGGGCCTGCAGGCTCTGCTGCGGCCCACACGCCGGCGGAGCGTCCAGCTTCCTTAGTTTTTATTTGGGCGTTGGTGTCTCGTGGCAGACAGCGGTTTGCAAAGCTGTCCTCCATGCACCGAGGCGCGTGCCAGACCCTGACCCTGGCCTGGAGCCGCTCAGGTGTGCACCGGGCGTGTGTGCCGGCCCTCGGTGTGCACCCGCCCTGCAGGAGGGCGCGAGTTGTGACCGTGCACGGTTACTGCCTGCGGGGGGACTGGACCCAGGCCCCCGGAGCTGGTCCCTGTGCCTTTGCAGGTGCTGTCGTTCAGATGATGGTGGTTCTCACTCTGCTTTCTGTCTGTCTCCTGAGGCGTGGGCCTGGGCCTGTGGGAATGACCCCGCTTTCCATGGTGACCCCCGGTGTCCTGCGGGGGCAGGGGTGGGGGCTGTGTCCTCATCTGTAGATGGATCTCAGCTGCCTCACCGGCACCTCAGCTCCCTGCTTGTCCAGAGTGCCCTGGACACGCAGCCTCCGGGCCAGGGTTGGTCCTTTGTCCCCCGAGGTGCTTGGGACCGGCTTCCGTTTCCCATGCACTGAGGTCCCTGCTGCTCTTGGGCCCAGCTCTTCGTGTGAGTGAATAAAAGTTTTTGTAGCCGAGCCGGAAGCTTGGGCATTCTTTCCCTCGACCGCAGCACTAGCGTCCTCTCCTTGCCGTGGTTTGGGGCCAATCCCCTCCCCTCGGGGTGGGCCAGGCATCCTCCTCTGGGGGTTTAAATCTAAGCAGAGGTTTCTGCTGACAATCAGAGACGCTGGGAGCAGAAAGGAGGAGCAGGCCTGTCCTTGGAAAAGGGGGGAGGACGGCCCTGTGGGCTGAGGGCCCTGCCCCCGCGCGCCCCATGTGTGCTGGGCAGAGGCTGGCCCGCCCCGGGGTCCGGCCATAGGAGCTGCGTTGGGTCCCATGGGCGCGAGGGAGGGGTCTCCCGGGCCCCTAGGAGGGTCCAGGTGCCGGGTCCAGGGGGCCGCCCAGCCGCGCCCCAGTCCACAGCAGCCCGTGGACGAGGAAGCAGAGCGCCAGCAGGCCAGTGCCCAGCAGGTCACCCAGCCCTGTGAGGTATGGGATGCAGTGGTCGTCCGGGTCCAGGGCCTGCCGCCACGCCAGCCGGACCGCCACGTCCGCCAGGTGCAGCAGGACCATCACCTGTGGGGGGAGAGGCGGGGTGATGGCCGTGCAGGAGGGGCCGCGGGCCTCCGGCTAGAGGTGCCGATGGGCATGCCGTCCCGGGCCCCATGCCGCCCCGGCTCCCCTTGGCCCGAGGCACGTCTCTACCCAAAGCCTTGGGCCAGCTCTACTTCGCCGGCTTGCCAGAAGCCTGTGTGGAGGCGCCCTGTGCGTAGTCAGGCCTCAGGCCCTGAAGCCGCTTGTCCGGGCCATCCTGCCTGGCGCTGCTCTGGATGGCCTCCCGGGCTCCCTGCCTACCCTTTGGGGTCACAGCCGTGCCGACGTGCCCTCACGGGGCCTCCCCCAGGGCCTGGGCAGGTGGGCTGCCAGCAGAAGCCCACACGCACCCTTAGGAGCCCCTGGCTGGCCTTGCCCATCACGGGACCCAGCCTCCGCCACTGCCCTGACTCTGCTGGGGAGGCGCCAGCAGTGCCTCTGGACACGGCCCCTGGGCCGGACCAGCCGGCCGAACCTCCGGGAGGCGGGGACCACGTCCTGCTTGTCCAGGGACCCCTCCCAGGCCGGGGCGCGGTGGCCGTCCTTACCTGGACCAGACCCGCCAGCAGGTACAGGAGCACGAAGGTCCTGTCGCTCGGGACCGACTGGCTTTCTAGCAGGGAGACGACGGAGAAGAAGGCCAAGTGGCCGGGCACCACGAGCAGCAGCAGGACGCGGGCCGACGTGGCGCTGATTTCTGTGGGAGGCAGGGCCGTGGCTGAGCGGCGGCCGCAGTGCGGTGGCCACGGGCACTCTCCGCCGCACGCGTCACGGAGCCGCCGCGTGTCCTCCCCACGGGTGCAGCCAGCACTCCTGGGAGCCGGCATCGGAGCAACAACCAGGATGGAGCCACAGCAGCAAGCAGGGCGACTAGGAGGCGATGCGACTGGCTGTGACGGAGGTGGACGCAGACGCCCCAGCAGAGGGGCAGGACCCACAGCAGCTCCCAGAGGCCGCCGTGCGGACGTGCTAGGGCCAAGGCCAGCGGCTTCCAGAGGCCGCCGTGTGGGCGCGCTGGGACCAAGGCCAGGGACCCCTTGGTACAGTCCTCAGCGGCTGTGCGTGTGGCTCCGAGGCTGCGAGAGACGCGCCTTCCCGCTGAGACCGCAGGCTTAGAGCCAGCCCTTGATGCGGGGGTCTCAGTGAGAGCCAGGCTCCATCTGCTCTGAGTTAACACAGCATCTCATCAGCTAGGTGGGGAGGACAGCACAGTCATTCGGACGTAACGTAAAACACCCTGGAGAGGCTGCGCCAGACCTCTTCATGGTGACAAACTGCACAAGTCCTGATAGTTAAAAAGGATCCTTTTTTAAAAAAACTTAGAAAGGGAAAAGTTAGTTGTTACTATCAGCAGGTGGCGTGAAGATTCAGGAAAATCCATTGAAAACTAAGAACGATACTTTTCCCCTCAAAGCCATGTGCTGTGACCTGATCCCCAGGGATGGAGTTAGAGGTGACAGGGTCACAGGGGGGGCGACCCCCAGCCTGTGGAGTGCTGGTTCCTGCAGAGGCGCGACCAGTAGCTGCGTGCTGCCACCCCGCCCCGTGTGCGGCTCTGGGACGGCCCACAGGCTACAGCTGCACAGAGGTGGCAAGTCAGACAGGAAGGGGCAGACGGCACGCCTGGGGCGCAGGGGCCTCCTCTGTGCTGGGGGTCGGGCCTGGTGACACAGACTCCAGTGATGCCATCCTTGAAAGAAACAACCACATGGTCCCTTGAAGGCCCCAGACCCACCTGAGCTGCAGAATGTGGAGCACGGGTTGGGCCAGCATTTTTTCATCCAGAGGGGCAGGACCCCGGGCGTGCTCCACAGGTGTAGGTACGTGGAGATCCGGCTGGTCTGAATGGCCACCAGGTTGCCACCAACGCCTGCAAGACAGCCCGGTTTCCCCTCCTTGACGTCTGTGTCAGAGCCTGTCCCTTATTTTAGGTTCAACAACTCCAGGAAGCCTCCCTTGGCCGATTCAGCACTTGATTTCCTCTTTTCCTCGCACTTGACCACACGCCTTGTCTGTCTTCAGACCAGGCAGCCGAGATCTCGCGAGGGAGGCGTCCAGGCAGCAGCAGTGTCCCCTCGACAGGACACCTCTGAGCGGAGGAGGCGTGACCAGCAGCCTCGAGTCTCAATGGCTGATGCCCATGTGCAGGGCACAGGGGTGGGGGGAGGGAGGGCTGGTCTCGGGGAGCCGCTCAGCAATGGTCCAGACTGTGGGCACATCTGAGGGAACCTTGTGGCCGGAAGGAGAGGAGACGGGGCGGGGTGCACGCGGCTGAGCTGGGCTTGAGGGGCTCCTGGCGTCACCGGGAACTGAGTGTGCCGGAGCCACAGGCCTCCTGCGGGCGCAGGTCAAGGGTTGGCCCCTGGCCACGGACCCTCCCCTATTCTGTCACCCCAGCTCTGGAGGACCCCTCCCTGGGCCCCCCAGGGTGTAGGCCGACCACCTGGGCTGCTCCGGAGGACTCCCAGGACGGCCAGGGCCGAGGGGCCTGTGGATGGAGCCTGCGTGGCCCACTGTCCGGATTCCTGGTGGCGCGCCCCACACTGCTCACACGGGAGCCCGCCTGTGCTCCCCACCACCCAGTTCATCGCCTCGTGGGGCCCGGTGCTCGCCCCCACTGCAGACGCTGAGCGGGGACCCCGGGGGCCTCCAGGACGTGAGCCGCTACTTGCAGCCTTGCCGCTCAAGGAGAAGACAGGAACCCGGGCTTTTACTTGTAAATGTCAGTGTATCTAAGAGGGAAGCCGTGTGGGGCCCCGATGCCAGCAGGTGGGTCTGGGTGGTGGCCGGCAGGCGTGGGCTCAGTCCTGGTCCTGGTGCCCCGAGGGCAGCCGTGCCCCAGGGGAGCCACTGAGGACCACAGCCTGGCCTCAGCTGCGTTTGGGGCTGACCCTGAACCCGAAGCCCTGCGGTTACTGTTCTCCCAGCACCCCCGGCCCAAAGCCCTCATGATGGCCACAGTACCTACCACACATGATGGGAGCAAAGACGGCCATGCCTCTGAACTGCGGCCGGTACAGGGTCTTGTTCAAGATAAGCCCCCCGAGGCTGCGGGCAGAGGGCAGACCGTTAGCAGCACGGGTGCCCCGTCACCCCCCACCCAACCTCTCCTGCACCTTCTGGGCCCCCGTGTGCATTTACACCTGCGTCCCGAGTCCCGCCTGTCCGGGACGCCCACCGAAGATGTCACCCCCAAGAACGCCCCAGACCCTCCTCAGGCCCCCGAGGGGGTGTGGATGTGCTGACTCCCCGGAGACGCTGCCAGGGCCTGGCCTGTGACCCCACGACCTCACAGAGACCCCACGGCCTCCGCTGCCCTCCCAGCGCATCAGCCAGGAGCGCAGGTCAGAGAGGATGCGGGGCGGGGCGCGGCGCCCGGGGAGAGGACCCCTCCGCCCTGAGGGGCTCACCAGAGGCCGAGCAAGGGGACGACGCCCACAGAGCCGCGGACTTGGGGCCCGGCCCGGGGCTTCCCGGCGAGACAGAGAGGAAGGCACACCTGCTGACGAGCATCGCCAGGACGATAGGGAACCAGCCGAACTTGAGAATCCTCACAACAGGGGGGTTCTGCTTGGCGATGAGGACACAGGCGGGGGTGAGCACCGCGAAGCCGACGCAGACCAGTGGCGTCAGGTACTGGCTGTCTGCGGGGGAGGGGGGCGGAGCTGGGGTGGGCCCGCCCTGGCCCGCAGGCAGGCTCAGGGCTCTACCCCCACCTCCTGGGAGCCCGGCGGCTCCTGCTTGCACTCAGCCCCAAGACCACGGCCAGCGCTGACCTCGGCACCCCGGGTGCCCGGATGCCTGCTTCCACCACCCACTCAGCCGGCAGAGACTTCAGCCGTCGGGCGCACCTCTGTG